CAGGGTTTCTCTGCGTATCCCTAGCTATTCTAGAGCTTCCTTTGTAGACCAGGCTGGTTAGAACTCACAGAAATATGCCCGCCTCAGCCTCCTGAGAGCTGGGATTAAAGGCTTATTGCTCCCTCACCACTCAGCTATTTTTTTGTCTTTTTGAAAGATTTCAGTATGTAGCCCTGGCTCCGGGAACTGTTACATAGATCAAGCCAGCCTCTAAGTCACAGACAGCCACCTGCCTCTGCTTCCCAAGTGCTGTAATTAGAGGTATATGCTACCATGCCTGCCAATTGACAGCTGTCTTGATAGAGCAGTCATTCTTAATCTTCCTAATGCTGCGACCATTTAATACAGTTCCTCATGTTGTGGTGATCCTGACGGTAAAACCCACAGGTCGAGAACCAATGTGATAGATCCCATCTGTTTGCTTTGGTCACCTCTACCCAGCACCACAGGTGGTAGAGTAATACTCATTAAAACGACGGATAGATGAATAAATACCCACCCAGAGAAGCATAGTTCAGCAACAGAAATAGGCATGACACATTAGATCGGAACACTGCTCCATCTGCCCCAGCCTCCCTCAGAGCCACCTCCTCAAGGCTTTTGTTCATTGACTCTTTAGTGTCTCCCTCGACCTGGGTTGAACAGCAGAAGGCTGGACTGGGGTTCCTGGAACAGCGCACTCTGGATTGGTTTGGGGGTTTAGCTGCTTTGATGACTGTAGTGGCTCATTGTTCTTTCTGCAGCGATCTTTGCAAAGTCAACTATTCTGGGCTTTCCCAGCCTCCACTCTGCTTTGCTTGGCCTCCTGTTACTTTCCCCTCATCTAACTATAATTTTAGCCTTTAGTTTTCTACTTGGTCCTGCTTCCTTCTCTTAGGACTTTTGGAGAGAGTGTCACTTTGTAACCTTAACTGGCCTGGGATCCACTATGCAAATCAGGCTGGCCTTGAATGCATCATAGAGATCCACCTGCCTCTGACTTCTGAGTGCCTGATTATAGGCACGGGTCACCATGACCAGCTGTTTGGCATTTATTTATTTGAGACAGGGTTTCTCTGTGTAGCCCTGGCTGTCCTAGAACTTAGAGATTTGTAGACCAGATTGGCCTTCAACTCAGAGATTCGCCTGCCTCTGCCTCCCAAGTGCTGGGATTATAGGCGTGCTTCCAACACCCATAGTCTCATTTTTGTTTTTGTTATCTTGCTAAAATGAATGTGTTCTATAAATATGCATTTGTATTTGCATAAAACATAGTAAGGTGTGGAGGGAGTGCAAGGGCTGCAATAGACAGGCTAGGTCTGTAGAAATTCCTAACATACATCTTTATGTTATTTTGACTTTTGTGCCAAATAGCTTTTCTTTTCCTATTTCCTGTATTCATTCACCCCTCTAGGCTGGTGCAAGCGTTTGGCTCTCCCTTCCTGTCTCTCCTTTCTGGAACTCTCCTCCCTTCCCTCAGCCTCCTACTACTAGGCACACTACCCCTGGAACAGTGATGGGGGTTGCCCAAGATTCAACCCACCCTTCCTCCTCTCTACTTCCATTGAAAGGCTTACCTTCTGAGTCCATGAGGCCTCCAAAGTGTTGTGTTTGATCAGTGCCTAGATAGGTCCATTTGGCTGCCGCTGTTACCTGAAGTAGCATCTCTCAATTAGTTTTGGCTTTTTATTGTGTGTGAGTCTTATGCCTGCATGTGCACCACATGCATGCAGTGCTCAAGGAAGCCAGAAGAGGGCGGGAGCCACCAGTGGGTACTGGGACTAGAACCCACGTCCTCTGGAAGAGCAGCCAGTGTTCTTAATGGTTGAGACATCTCTCCAGACCAGGATTTTTTTTTATTCCCTCTCCCCCTTTCTTGTAGCCAGGTCTTCAAATTTTGATTAATTTATTCACTTTTAATGTGTGTTTTGCTTGCACATATGTATGTGCATCACCTGCATGCACGCCTGATGCCCACAGAGATCCTAAGAGGGCATTGTATCCCCTGGAACTGGAGTTAGGGATGGCTGTGAACCACCATGTGGGTGCTGAGAATTGAACCAAGGTCTTCTGCAAGAGCAGCAAGAGCTCCTAACCCAAGCCATCTCTCTAATCTCTTTTGATTCCTGTTTTTTCATTGAGACAGGATCTCAAGTAGCCTAGTCTGGCCTCAAATTTGTTGTGTAGCCAAGAATGACCTTTAACCTCTATCTTCCTGTCTCCACTTCCCCAGTGCTATGATTCCAAGGGTGAGCCACTAGCCTAAGTACCGACATCTCCAGCTTTTATAACTGTCTCCTTCCTGGACTAGACATCAGTCTAGGCCCTGCAACACTCTGCAGGGGTCTAACCACTGATCTGCATCTCAGCTTATAGTTTCCCATTTAAGGGCCTTGTTTTTTCAGCCTGGCTCTCAAAAAACAAAAAACAAAACAAAACAAACAAACCCTTGGGTTAGAGAAATGGCTCGGTGTATGAAGGGGTTCCTGATAACTGGAGTTCCATTTCCAGAGCCTACATGGTGAAGAGATCAGAGTCCTGAAAAAATCTTTTCTTGACACTCCCAATCCAAATGCATAAACGTAATAAAAATGCAGACAAAAACTTTTCTGTATGTTTGAGGACCAGGCTGGCCTCAAGCACGAGGGCATCCTTCAGCCTTTCAGTCTCTGAGGGAATTACAAATGTGGATCACTATTTTTTTTTTTTGATATAACGTCCTATCACCCATGAGGATTGTCTATCTTCTCTACACAAAGCGGAGGCCTTGCAACTCAACAGTGAGATGTTACTAGGCTGGAGTGTGGAGAGGACAGGTAGTGAGTCTTGGGGTACAGGTATATGAAAGCCATGTAAAAACCTCACTAGAAATAAGGATAGCTGTGGTGTTATTCTAATGGGATGTCACTAAAGGTTGGAACATGACTATCAGATTTGTATTGTGAAATGTATCCTATGACATATAAACTGGAAGGGGGACAGGGAACTGAACATGAGAAATCAGTTGGGCCAATGCGGTGGTAAAATCAGGTGTGATGGTTTGTCCCTGTAAGTCCAGCATTTGAGAGGCTGAGACAGGAGGACTGGTGTATTTGAGGCTAGCCTGGGCTACATAAAGCATTTCAGGCTAGTCTAAAAAAAGAAACCCAAGAGAGGGAGATATTCATGCTATGGTGCCCAAGCTAGTGTCCATCTCTTGGGCTCAACGAATCCTCCTGCCTCAACCTCCTGAGTAGCAGCAACTTTTCAAAGGTTTCAAATTGAGAACGCAGTGGCAAAATGCGCGGCTCAGAGAAATGCAGGAAGTTGAGCAGTGTCTAGGTCTTGTGGCAGGGAGTTAAGGGTACGTTTATAGGTTCCATATTTGCCCCCTTTACCCAATAGAAACTGTTTGAAGTGTCAGGAAAGAGATGTAGTGGAGGTCACAGACACTGAACAGCATGCTCCTAACATTACAGGACATAACTTATGCAAGGCACAGCATCGAAGAACAGGACCCCGATGGGAGGACAGGAAGTCATGCCATGGTCAAAGATGCACACCTGGAATCCTGGGAACAAAGTTTCCAGAGCATAGCTGGGAGACAGAAGGGAGAACTGGAGGTGCCCTGAGATAGGACATGTAAGAGAGAAGGCTCTGTTTGAGCCAGGGTCTCATAGCCTCGGCTTGCTAAAACTTTCTGTATAGTCAAAGACCCCGAGAGCTGGGACTACAACCAGTACATCCATCCTGCTGGTTTTATTTATTTTTGGTTTTTTGAGACAGGGTTTCTCTGTGGTTTTGGAGCCTGTCCTGGAACTAGCTCTTGTAGACCAGGCTGGTCTCGAACTCACAGAGATCCGCCTGCCTCTGCCTCCCGAGTGCTGGGATTAAAGGCGTGCGCCACCACCGCCCGGCTGGTTGAGATTTAAAGCTTTTGGCAATGAAGGTTTTTGTATCCTCCCCCCCCCCCCCGCCCCAAATCTCTGTTTGTCAAGCCAAAACCTAAACAAAATCTGGGCTTGGAATAGGCAGGCCCTCAAGATGTGCGATTTGGGGCTGGAGAGATGGCTCAGGGGTTAAGAGCAGTGACTGCTCTTCCAGGTCCTGAGTTCAATTTCCAGGAACCACATGGTGGCTCACAACCACTCATGATGAGATCTGGTGCCCTCTTCTGGCCTGCAGGCAGATATACAGGCAGAACACTGTGTACATAAATAAATATTAAAAAAAAAAAAAAGATGTTCACTTCATCCCACACTTCCCAGTGTTTCTATACATTTTCCCTGGTGTTGAAAGTAGGGATTAAAGGCAGGATCTAATGCACTCTATCAATGTGCTACATCCACAGGCTTTTTCTTATCTTTGTGTGGCAAGGTTTCACCAAAGTTCCAGGCTGGCTTTGAACTTTCAATCCTACTTGAGATTAAGGTGTGAGGCATACTATCTGGTCAATGTTTTCAGTCTTCATGAAGAACAAACTGGACAGTATGTAAGAGGATTCCAGGTGTTTCTAGGCACAGGTAGTTCCGAGTAGCTTTCGTGGTGCTCTGCCTTGCACATGCCACGCATGTATGTTACCACTGTGTGGACCCCACCCCACTCAAGTGTTCACGTGACCTGACTATCACCTGAGCTCCTAGTATCATTTTACCAGTGGAAGAGGTGAGTGTCCTTGAAGTGGTGCATGTATGTAGGTAGCTCAGAACATTACATAACTTCTCTGGGCTTCATGCAATGCCACCACCCACCGTCAGCTAACTGGACTATGTCAAGCATGGTTTTGCTGAAGAGTTGGCTGCTGTCTGTGAAAGAGCTCAGTCTCCTTTTTAGCAGCTAAGAGCAGCAGAGGGACATCTTCTCTCCTCTTCTACCCCAGTGTCTAGGCAAACATAAACAAGACACCAGGCAATAGCAGAAGATGACCCACGGTGCACCATGGCAGGCAACACCAGTTCTGGAACAGGCAGCAAGCAGCAGAAACAGACTGATCAGCTTAGTTTAACTGTCAGAATAAAGTCAGAAACCACAACAGTAAATGCTTAGCAGCCAAACACATTTATTAGTCTTTTTTCTTTTTTTCCAGGAACTCAAAAATATTTTGTAGTTATAATGTAAGCAACTGAGTTGCACATAATACAATCATATCTTTCCAAAATAAAATAAAAACTAAACAAAAACAAAATAAGCTGTTTAAAAGCCCAAAAAAACCCTTCAGAAAACTTTTATATATGCGTTACATCATCTCTCAGTTTTAATGAAATGACTACGACTTTATTCCTTATTATTCAACCTGTCACAATCCGATAAAACACCACCCTTCAGTTTTGTTTGTTTTTGATATATATATATATATATTTGCTTTTGATATATATATATATATATTTTGAAATCCAGCATGAAAAATACAGTACCTGCTATGGCAAAAAATACACATAAAATGCAACTTTTCAGCTTATTTGTACATTAGTAGAGTTTAACATTTTTTTTAAGTGAACCAGTGATTTTAAGTACCACTATACTAAAAAAGTAAAATAAAATACAGAAAGGGGGCCGGCCTGCCGTGCAAGTGAACCACCAAAGTGCCTAGTTTCTGTGTCCACGTTAAACCAGTAAGATAAGCAACTTTACCATATGGGAGTCTGACTGAACCTCTATGTTAAAAAAGACAATGCCACATCCTTTTCTCCCCTCAAATATCCTTAAAACTTATCACCTGCATTTTCTATTGCCCATCAGAAGAGAGAAAAGAAAGTCACCAAAATAATATTGTAAAAGCGATTTCAAGTATAAGAAAACAAAACACTTATAGGTAACTTGCAGAGAGCATCAACGTGTGCAGCGATTTAGTCCTTTTGACAGGTTGTTCTGCTGAGTGTTTCAAATGAGAGGATTTTCACGGTCCCTTCCGTCTGTGTGCAAAGATGGAAAGCTGCCTCTTAAAACTTCAGTCTCCTTCTGGCGCCTTTCTCTGAACCTTTTGATTAAAGGGGCAAAGAGGGCCACTGAGGGCAGAAGGAAGGAGTGAACCAGGTATCGCAATGAGTTAAATAGGGTCTCTCCTCCGCTGCCACAGCCCCAGGTCCTCTCACCTCTGGTTCAGCCTCAGTGACCAATTACTGAAGGGTCTCCCACTCACTGTTTCCTGATTTGGTAGAATGAATTTCACTATGTAAACATAGCCCCCTAGGATTACGGAACCCAAAGCAGCATTTGTATCTCCGTCGAAAGGGAGAAAGATAAAACAGTCCAGAAACCTCTCCTCAGGTTGCTTTTTGTTGGTGGTTTTGGTTGCGCAGAACAGGGCTGGGGTGGATGCAGATGGTTGGGAGTCAGGGAGTGGGCGTGGTTGAGCGCTTGGATCTGCTTTATTTTCCCTCCCAGAAAGTTTTTTTTTTTTTAAAACCTGTTAAAAATGTTCCTGCACCTTAAGTCGTGCTGAAATTAAGGCCAAGGGTGCAGAATCTTGTGCACATGTCTGTGAGCACACTAGAGGTGCGTGCACCATTTTGATGTCTTGTGTTGAGACCACTGCATACACTTTGGTCACTGGTGTGTGCAAAGGGTGTAGTAAGGGGACGCCCAGGAAAGAGGTGCAGACATCAGCGAAGCCCTTTGGGAACATCAGAGAGTAAAACAAGGGCAGGCAGAACCCCAGCGACAAGAGGAAGCACACTGATAGGCAAGGGCCTCCAGACAAACTACAGAAGTAAAGTCCAAGGGGACGGGGCGGTGCCAGTCAGAAGATGGGCAGGGGATGGCCATGTACTTTCATCAAGATTCTTCCCTCAGCCGGGCGGTGGTGGCACACGCCTTTAATCCCAGCACTTGGGAGGCAGAGGCAGGCGGATCTCTGTGAGTTCGAGACCAGCCTGGTCTACAAGAGCTAGTTCCAGGACAGGCTCCAAAACCAGAGAAACCCTGTCTCGAAAAACCAAAAAAAAAAAACCAAAAAAAAAAAAAAAGATTCTTCCCTCAAAGGAAGTCGTCACTGAACAAGATCAGGGAGGACACTTAAAGAGCTTGACAGATAGGGGTTTGAGTTGAAGTGGGATAAAAGAGGGAGTCTTCTAACCTTGTCTGGTGGGAGCCCAGGTCTAGGAGGGCAGCAGCAGTCAAGGCCCTCACAAGCAGCAGGTGTCAATGTGTTTCCTCTAAGAATGTCCACTGTAAACAGCATGGAGGAAGATCTGAGTATGCACAGGGCTTTCAGGGTTGTTTGAGGGTCTCCTCAGCTGAGCTTTCTTCTAAGTAAGAAACACACTTCCAGAGCATTGCTGAAAAAGCCACAGGACAGACTGCAGTACCAGGGACTAACTCTACAGGGAACTGAAGAACCACACTAAAGGGAAAGAAGTGTGTGCACGTGAACAAAAAGGGGCGGAGAACTCAAGTCCCTGGAGGGGATGGAACGCATGAAAGAGCCTTGGTGCTGGACTAGATGGCACCTAGTTAGGGCACACATAGCCAGTGGTCTGCTGTCCTGTGCTGTGGGGAGCAACACTGCCAGAAAACAGCCATCCCACAAACCCAAAGCTACGCCACTGACCTGTTTTGCTTTTTCTTCTTCAACAAGAATTCAGATCTGAAACTTCTGATGGCTTAAAATGCAAACATCATATTTTAGGGTTATTTTCACAGCAAAGAAAATGTTTCAAAGACTTATCTGGTTATTTACACATCCGTATTTTATAAAGAATAGCTCACTGATGTCAAGAAAGGAGAGAGGAGTGAAGGGGTTACATTGCAGGGGAAATATACCTTGAGGTATCATTTTGTGTCAGACACTTGAAACATCAGGATTTTCTTGTTATTTTGCTTTTGTTTAAAGGCAATCGAGCAGATTTGGAACCCTGATAAGATCATGCCTGTGCAGCCTCGCACAGACACAAAGAGACTGTGGTCAAGTCTGTCACTCATTACAGTACTGTGAACATAACAGAGATTGCTGTGTGGAAAACACGATACAGGCTAAACGGCTCTTGCTTCTGATACTGTGTGTTGTAATAATGCCTAGACCAGGGCAATGCAGGTGCCACGATTTATCACAGCCCAACTCCACAAAAGAATTGTTAGAACAAAGAAGAGGAAGTACAAAGGCCTTCCGGTGCCCCACACCTCACTGCACGACCAGTTCAGTACAGGAAGCAGAGATCAGGGATAGAGAACAGGGAAGGGAAGCCTTTTTTTTTTTTTTTTTTTGCTTGTCAGTCAACAGCAGGCAACAGCCCTCTTTCTCAGCTCATAATTAGGAATGGTTCCATTCACAATGATTGACAACAAAGAAATGTATAAGAGGAGGAGATTTCAGAATGATGTAAAGTGAACTCTCAGGTCAGCAGAGTGCGGCATGGTTTCCTGAGCTTGAAAGGGTTCTGAGTTCAGAGAATACTGGAGCCTGTAAGCTTCCACGGCTGCCCTGGGTTAACACTGCATGGCCAGTACAAGAGTCCTGCACCACAATGGTGGACAGGCATGGCAGACCCCCCAGCATTTGCTTCGCAATTAGACCTGCCAAAGGGCAGGATCTGGGAGGTCCCTTTTGCCCTCACTATGCTGACCTGGCGAGCCTCTCCTCCACTTCCCTCTCAGACGTGGGGATACCATGGACACAGAAACTGGAAAAACATAAAGATGCAGATCGACTTCTTTCCCCTCTTCCCGCCTTTCCCCTTTTCAGAAAATGCATAGTTACAAATTCTGGTTACAAAATGGAGCAAGGATGACCACGTATGGACCTTTTGTTGTATTTGTTGACAAAACAAACAAACAAAACCCCTCAAGAACCCAACAACCTCCAGTGAAATTCACATTTGCATAACAATACATCCCAAGGCAACCAGGAGTGAGCGCAGCCTCCCTCTGTCTTCCTGAAGGAAGCTGAAGGAACCCAGGAGAGTACTTTCCTCTGCGGAGGAACTGAGGGTGGTGGACAGGGCCCTTGGCATCCACTGGATACAGAGTGGGAGAGGTGGGGTCACACACACACACACACACACACACACACACACACACACACACACACTAGGGAATGCAGATGTAGACAGCTGACCTGTACTGGACTAACCTGAGCCTTGCTCATAACCTCCAGGCCCAAGACCCAGAATCCCTTTAGCATGACCACACCATGCAAAATGGACGCTCATGAAAATCCAACAGCTGTCCCTGGGGCTGCCAGGAGACTGACAGACCACGGTTGGTCTCTGGACTGACAAAGGCACATTCAGAAGAACTATACTTAAGAGATTCCTTGGAAAGAATTAAAGGGGGTAGTGTTTTAAACACAATTATTGTAACATAACCCCAAACTTCTGGCAAAAAGAAGTTTCAAGCTAAAACCTATCACTTGGTGAGTGACCATCCTACCTTTACAAGGTATGTGACCTCTCTTGAAGGATTCCCAAGGTCTATTTAGTTTTGCATAAAGATCCCTCCTTTTGTTTTTGGCATACACACTCTGCATCTACCACTTTTTCCTGCCTTAAGGCCAGTCACGAAAGTAAGGCTGTTTCATCTGCCTCCAGTCCCTTTACAACCCCCAGGAGTGGGGTACCCTTTTGGTGGCCCAAGAAGAACTGAATAACCCACCAGAAGGTCCAGGAAGTCAGGAAGGGAAAGAAATGTAGGAAGGAAGGATTTCCCTTTTGGAAGAAGTCATCCCAATTTACTGATACTGGCTGGAAATGGGTCAACTGTAACTGGGAGTTTATTTCCGAAGTACTGATTACTTATAGTGTGAAAACTAAGCTGAGCCATACAGCGCTCTTGGGAAACACTTATTTTTTATTTAAAATAGAACACTTGTTTATGAAAGTGTACCTGGCCTGTCCCCTCCCATAGAAAAGTAAATCTGTCATGAGGAACAATCTCAGCTCTGCCATGGGCCCACCTTACCAGAAAGAGCTATTTAAATGCCAAGAGGCAAATTTGCATCAGCAGTTTCTGTCACTTTGCTACTATCTTAAAAACCATTCAGCAGGGCGGTGGTGGCTCATGTCTTTAAATGGCAGCATGCCGGAGCCAGAGGCAGGTGAATATCTGTGAGTTCGAGGCCAGTCTGGTCTACAGAGCAAGTTTCAGGACAGGCTCCAAAGCTTCAGAGAAACCCTGTCTCAAAAAAAAAAACAATGACAAAAAGCCCCAAGTCATTCAAATGATGGAAAATACTTCCCGACTGTTCAGGACCCAGTCAGGATGGCCATCCACAAGGGGCAGAGTAGATGCTGACCTGGCAGGAACTAGCTCTCCACTGACTAGTGCCTCTCACTTTCTTTTATCTTGTTCATGTCCTCCTCTGGCAGTGTGGACTGGGGAAGATGTTGTCGGCAGTTTAGTGAGGATTGATATTCAATTTTTGCTTTATGGGACAGAGTCTCTGTGAGACTTGTTATGTAGACCAGGCGGCCCTTGAACTCAGAGAGATCCACTTGCCTCTGCCTCTCAAGTTTTTGCCAATCAAGCTGGGATTAAAGTGTGTGTCATCAAACCTGGACCACTATTTAGTTTTTATTATTACTGTATTTTTAGATTCTAGGAGTTTGATCATTTCAAATCTAAAGAAGGTATGGTATCCCGTGTCAAATTTAAGATTGAGAATAAAAACACTATTTTTGACGATGATCATCTCTGATGACAGTGTAACTTTGGCACTGGCAATAAGCCTAGAGGGCATTGTGACAGGGAGTACACAAACTCTGGGAACATTCTTGTTTTCTTATAGACTGATGTAGATCAAGAGCGAAGGTTCTCTGCTTGGCCATCGGGATTTAAAGACAGACAGTCACTTGCACACTGGCTAGAATAACCCTAGCTGCAGACAGACAAGATCGTGGAACAAGGTGTCTCTTTGCAGTGACATCGGAAGTGTAGCTAATGCACCAACACAGGCTGTGACTTGGCAAAAACACTGAAGAAAAGTTTCTTAAACAAACAAACAACCACAGCTAAGACCGTGCCTCTGCTCCTAGTTGAAGACCTTATATGTAGAATAAAAAACTCTAATCCAAAACAACAAATGGCAGGGCTGAATAGACTGAATTTTAACTCAAAAGGGGGCAGGGAAGAAAGGGACCTTCTTTATACAAAGACTCGCTTGTGTCTATAGCCAGGCCTGCGGAAAATGCCCTATGAAACTGGACAGGAGATCAGGCCTGGTGTACACGTTTTGCTCAGCATAGAGACACTAAGAGTCAAAATGGCAGAATATGAGAAAATAATTTAGAAAGTACACAGCATCTGAGGTCGAAGTAGAATCTGGCTATTAACCCTACACAAACCACATCCTTTCTAAGAAGAGGGTAACAGTGATTGTAGGGCTGGAGGAACTGTGTGGCTCAGGCATAGAGCGTGCTCGCCTAGCGTAGGCAAAGTCCTGGATTCTCTCTCCAGCACCACAAACTCCGAGAAGAGAGATGTGTTTGCAGGAAGTTGATGTTCAGTCTCTGGTAGGTACACTGGGAAAGCCCTTCCAAGTTCTTAGCAGGAATTCTTCCCCCTTCCTCCCCCCCCCCCCCACGTTTAATATTCCAGATCACATTCAATTTTGAACATGCTACATTCACAACGGAAGTGGGAAAATTCTTAGAACACAAGCCATTGCAATACAAACCCTGTTGGCTGTAAGTAACTAACTGAATGCCAACACATAGGTGATGTTTTACAGGGTCACTGAGGGAGAATACAGTTTGAGTCTGTTATTTTATGAATCAGCACTACTGTACTGCTAAGTTCATTCCTAAGAATGTTGGAAATGAAAAATAAGGTTCAAGGATCAAGGGCTGAGAGAAGAGACAGAAAATTCTCTCTCTCTCTCTTTTTTTTTTCCAAAGAGGGTATCAGAGACCTGTTTCTCAACCCTTAAATGGGGTCAAGGCACTGGGTCTCATCGGTAGCAGAGGTTCTCCCGAGTGATGGAAGACAACTCTTTCCCCACTTGTGCTTTTCTTCTGGCTACTCATATGGTCACAGAAACAAGTCTGTGACGCTCATGAGACATATATACGTCTACCTACCACTAACCAATAATTTAAAAGAAAGCCAGCTGGTGGATCTCTGTGAGTTTGGGGCCAGTCTGGTCTACAGAGCGAGATCCAGGACAGCCAGGCCTACACAAAGAAACTGTCGGGGCATGGGGGTGGGGGTGGGGAGTCATTTAAAACAAGACCAAAACAAAACAAAAACCCAATAAAACAAAAACCACCTAGTATAAAACAGAAAGCTCACACTTACATGCTTATAATGTGCACAAAACAAATCTAAATAGTGGTGACTAGCAAGCTTCTGTATATATGCCAGAACGTGCTGGAAGGGTATGCTCATTGATCTTCCATGTATAACGAAGTCACCTAAAGTCTTGGTAGACAGGGTTTTTGCTAAAGAATACCATGGGAAGGGAAGGCTTTCTACCTTCTAGACACCCTCACCACATCCTCTTCTTAGCTCACTGCCAATCACTAACAAAAGCTTCCAGAAAGGTGACAAATGGAAGAAGGGAGGGGCAGGAAGAAGACAGGAAAACAGAAGCTGAGAAGCAGGAGCCTTCTTCCACTGGCCCGGCACAAAAAGACTTTCCCCATCACTGGAACTGTCACCCTTCTACACAAGGAAAAGTCAGCACCTATGGAGGGCACACAACATAGGAAAGAACTTGGCATCCCACATTATCGGACAAAAAAATGTATTTAACTTCCTCAATTTTTTTTTTTTAAATTTTGATTTAGCCCACTGCCTTTGGGGCCTGTCCAGAAACACTCCAATTTCCTTTACAGGCAAGCATCTTACTAACTGTGGAGTGACTGGACCACGTGCACATACACACTCGTCCCCTACTTAGGATGTCTGGGTGTATGTACGAAGGCACTAAAGCGGTTTCAGAGAATGCAGGCAGCAACCCCACCCATTCACTTTACCTGTGGAGCTGGAGTTTCTTTCCCACTGGGAAGCTTAAAGTTTGAAAGAAGCTGTGGCCACGACTTCTGGCCCCAGGAGGGAATACAAAAGGAGAATTCAGTATCACTGAAATAGAAAGGAAACACTCCACATCTCCACCACCCAGGATGGGGACAGTAAGCAGCAGATCTTCAAAACAGCGTTTAAAACAAGCACAACAGTAGCTGGGAGCTAAAACAAAGTAAAACCACTTGTTCCTTATTAGATTCTTCTGTTTTCTCCTCCTGTAGCAGACAGAGGTGAAACAGACATTCTTCATGAACAGAAGAGAGTCCATAGGTAATTTTCCTTTAGTAATGCTTATACTTAAGATTTGTTTAAAATATTTCCTAACTCTTTACACAGATTCTCAGCAATCCAACAACTGCACTACTTACACAGTTTAGAGCCAATTCTTTTTTCTTAAGCTGTTTTTCTTCCTTTATTCCTTTCTTTTGTTGATGGGGCTGGAGAGACAGGGAGAAGGGCTGCATCGGAGAATAGAAACAGGACTGGGGAGATGTCAGTCCAGCCTTGTAAGAAGTTAACAGTGTAGCAGCAATCCTACTCATGTACACCAAACACCCTCCCATTCAGTTAGACACAATCTCAAGTGAGGCCATGACAGCGCTCACAGAACCCGATTCTTCTCCCACAGTTGTTAAGAAAATGAATTTACCTGTTGCTGCTAAATTGGTTAATTTTTAAAAAATATTTCTATGTATCTTAAAACGTGTGACCCCCTGTATGATAATAACATTTGGAGACTTTTCTTTTTACATTTTTGTAAGTAAAAATCATTTAAACTTTTTGAAGTTTCAGGAACTTGTAAAAGTTTACTAACGGGAAAGAAACAGCTGTCTATTACGATAAGATACGGTTAAATAAACCATCTTCAAAAAACTGGCTGCCTACCCTAGAATTCCTGAGAATGCTCGCAAATTTTAAAGCAGGAAAATAAATGTTAAAAACAAAACAAAAACACTGTTAAATGCTCCCAGAGTTAGTCTTCATCTAAAATATATATTTATATGTGTGTATATATATATATATATATATGTATGTGTGTGTATATATATATATATATATATACACGCGCACTTTTTGGTCTTTTTTTTTTTTTAAAGTTTTTAGGTTTTTTTCCCTTTAAGCTTATGATGGAAGAACATTTTAGCTTCTCGTGTTTATTTTTACATATTTCAAATCCCTCATTATGTCTTGTAAACAAGAGGGGCTCTAGCACCCGGCTTTCACCGTAGTATCGTAAGGAACTCAACTAAGCCATAGTGCAGGTCAAGGACCCAACAGGCATAAAGAGGAGGAGGGGGAGGAGGAGAGGGCAGGCAGGGCCACAAACGAACCAAGAGCGGCAGTGGACAATCCCCATAGGCTCTTGGGAGTCTGGGGATGCTAAGATTTAGCCTTCGGTCTGCAGATATCTGAATATAAGCTGCACTTCACTTGGACATCACCATCCACGACAGAGCTCTGTTCCAACACTAAGAGTCAGTGGGGCTGGAAAGAGACATTTTGTAGGGGCAGAGGTGGGAAGGGGATGGTGGTGATAGAAACCAGAAAGCAGGAGGAAGGCAGAGTCCCTGTGAACAAGGTGTTGCAGGAACAAACCAAACTCACCCACCTGCCAAGGGCTCCTAGACTGGCAAGCACAAGTGCCCACGGGAACAAAGCCTGTCAATCTCTTCTGAAGCCAGGTTTATATTCAACAGGGTAGGCCAAGAGGAGTACAGAATTTCCCACTCATTGTCTCACAAAGCCACTTACACACAATTTTGTTTTTTGTTGCTTTTCATTTTCCTATCCGTATCACCCTACCCACCTACACAAATACACAAGCTGAAAGTCAAATCCATTAGGCATTGTTGTATCCTTCACTGAAGATGCTAAAGAAAGGAAAACTCCCTTGTCCTCAATAGCAGCAAGTCCCAGAGGACAGCAGAGGTCTGCTCCCACCAGGGGTTGGAATGGGCAGGTAATTGCTGGTACAGAATGTCGGCACTTCATGTTGAACAAATAGTACGATGCAGACTGGGATATCCACACAAGTGCTAGCATGTTACCCGCACACATCTCCCCCCCACCCCCCGCCCACCGTCTATTTTGTATGTAAGGATTCCCCTTCAGGTTTGCTTTCACTCTCTTCACAATAAGCAGTTTGATATATTTTGATTCCAACATAGTACATACATGTTGTTGATAACTGTGGATTAAACATTGCCTCCTGTTCGGCCCAGAGAACTACTACATTGATGCTTTTTAAAAAAAGTCTTTAAATACCAAAATTAAAAAAAAAAAACATTACAAGAAAGAAAAATAAAAGAGGTCAAAACCAAAACAAGGTGCAATACTTAAGTCTTTGCTAAGTTATTTCTGCCTAAGCAAAACCACATACACAGGAAACACAACACAGAGAAACAAGGGGAAAAGCCTGAAGTACACACTGGTTTAAGAACATTCGTTAAGTAAACGTTTCTGTCAGTGATGGCCTGGTGCTGTAACACGCCACGGCCTGGCACAGGTAATGCTCAGCGAGAGGAGCAGAGAGGGAGGAGCTGCGCTGCTTCCAGGAGGCTGTTCACAATTTGCCGTTTTCCTCAAATGATAACGAGAACCTATAAGAATATTTAATTTGCATTACCTGATTCCTTATAAAAAATTCTCACACTTGATCACTTGTAAAGTGGGAACACAGCTTTTCTGCTTTTGAAACATTACATGATTTAAAAATTACTGAATCTTCTGTTCTCATTCAAAGTAGCAAAAAATGCCTGCTTGGGACTTAAAACTCCCGTGTGCTAAGGGGCCACTTATTTCACAGCACAGAAGTGAGCAACAGGTGCTCTGAGAGGTACCTCCCGCCGACTGCTGGCCTTGGCAGTGCTTCGCTCTGCTGCTAGGTCGAGGGAAGGCTGGGGAACCTCGCGCTCTGGCTACTGCTCTCATTGAAAAGCACCCTTCGTCTCAGTGCGGCCCGAAGAAGTGGCTTGAGCTGCAGCAGCCCCCTGTGCTCCTGTGTTCTCATAGTTAAAAAAAAATTAAAAGCAGATGGCCGGCCAGCCAGCCTGCGAACTGTCAGCAATGCAGCTTTCTGAGAAATCAGGGTGGGGTGAGATGAGGAGGGCAGGACGCAGGCACACATATAGAGACAGAGGAGGATGCACACAAATGCACATGAACACACGTGCACACACATACCAGAACAAGCATGCCTGGGCAGTTACATGTGCCAGAACACACTGGTATTTATCAACCAGCCAATCACAAAATTTTTCCTTTTTTTTTTTTTAAAGTTTTTTTGTTTTTGTTTTTAAAGTGAGGCTCCGTCAAGTCTTCCCTCCCCCCTCCCCCAACAATTCTTTTGAATTTCCCTCCCACCCAAACATGGTAGACCTAAGGACGGAAACACACCCAGTGCAAACAAAGTTAAAAAGCTATTTTTTTTCAGTATATATGTTTCTTAGCAACAACTTCCATATAACATGAAAAAAGTGAAAAACTAGAAACTAATTTTTTTTTAATTTTTTTGTGTTTAAATTTAAATGGTATGTGTACTTGCTTCACATTGTCTTTCTAGGTTGGCGTTCATGATTCAAGTATTTCAAGAGTGATATGTTCTCTTTTTGGATTCATATTCCAAACGAAAAAACTGAAGTTTTAAGGGAGGCAACTATGTGCTCAGACAGTCTGTCAATGACCCACCTTTCTTCTCTCTCCGTTTTCTTTTTTCCTTTTAAAAATGTATTTATTGCAAGTTGAAAAAAAAAACGAAAAGGTCAAGTTAGTGCTGCTGCTGTTCCAAAAAAAGGTCACGAGGTCAGAGTTGAAAGTTCTAAGTTCAGATTGAATCTGACCCTCCTCCTAGAAGGTCACCAGGTAGTAAAGGAGCAGGGCTGCCCATCCTATGGGGATCTTCCACCGTCGTAACTCCCCACAAGCTAGAAGAATAGTTTGTGGGACCCCACAGGGAAGTGCCAGCAAGATCGGCCCCACTGCTGCCACCAGAGCTGCTCCACTGCCCGAGCCCGCTGGACCCACCGAAAAGGTTCAGCGCAGGCCCGACGGGGTCTGCCTGGTTCTGGCTGGTCTCCAGTGACTGCCATCCTGTGGCAGGTGCGCTTGGGGTTGCTGCAGGTGTAGGTGGCTGAGCTTGAGCCAGGAAGCGGCTAACTTCATCTTCAGTGGCAAACTCGGCCAAGATGGTAGTGTTTCCCAACACACACCTGGAGGAAAAGGAAGAGAGCAATGTGATCTCAGAGACCAGAAGAACACACAGCATCACTGCTGCCAGCCCTCTGCCACTGCATGGACTACATGCTTGCTTGCTTACTGACTGATTGAGATGGGGTCTTACATAGCCCAGGCTGGCCTTCTGTCTCTGTCTCCTAAATGCTGAGATTACAGGCGTGCATCATCATGTTTGGTTTATGTAGTACTGGAGACTGAACCTAGGGATTTATGCATGCTAAGCAAGAACAACTGAGCTACATCTCCAGTCCACCTGTATGGGGTGAGAGAGAGAGAGAGAGAGAGAGAGAGAGAGAGAGAGAGAGAGAGAGAGAATCTAGACAACAGAGGACATAAAAGTTGTGATGTTGGATATATCAGCATATATTTGTTCATACTAACCACCATCAGTGACTCAGGAAGTAAACTTAACCCTAATGTAAACTGTGGACTCTGGTGGATCAGGCACCAATGAATGTTCATAAACTAACAAATGGGCCGTTCTAGTAAGTGGTGCTCATAATGGGGAAAGGCATCATTGAGTGAGTGGTCAGGATTATTATGGGAAGTTGTTGTCCAATCATCTCAATTTGGTTGTGAATCTAAAGTATTTTAAAAAAACTTCAAGCCTTACAGAAGCAAAAAGAATGTCAGTTTTTTTTTTTTAAACTCCACGTGAGGTAAAGAATAACACCCACTAATATCAGGCCAGCCAGCGCCAGCATCTAGAGCACCGTTCCAGTTAGGGGATGGACTGGCTGCTGGGGCCTCACTGTCACTTGTGTTCTCTGGGGATTTTTGTCACAGTGTCTGTTGCCCAAGGGAGTCAACACTTTTTTGTCCACCAGGGTAAGAGAATGTTTAAACCCTGATACACTTCATGCAAAAGTACTGCTACAAATAATTTCTTTTTTGGGCTGGGTGTGGTGACGCACACCTTTAACCATAGCACGTGGGAGCCAGAGGCAGGTAGATGAGTCCAAGGCCAGCCTGATTCTACAATGAGCTTCAGGACAGCCAGGGCTATACAGAGAAACCCTGTCTCAAGAAGTCCAACAAAGCCAGGTAGTCCAGGTAGTGGCAGAATTTTCATAAACATTGGCTTTGTTTGCAGTTCAATTTACTTACTATACAAATTATTTACATTTGAAGTTCAGAGTTTGAGCCTATGATATACACTAGACAACGCAAACAAAGTTAGGAAGAAGGACGGCCTCCTCAGCATCTGCGGATGTACACACGACTGAGGTTCTTGTGTGCATACTTCCATCATTGTTCTGTTAAGCGGGGCCAGAGCACTCCTGTGTGCACCATGTGTGCTGTCTGGATGCACGCAGGGTACAGTACTCACATATGCAGTGCAGTCTGGGCCTTGGCTGCCTCTTGTTTGGTGCTGTACCGGATCAGGGCAGTGCCCTGGGTTAGATTCAGATGGAATGTCAGCAGTGGACCATGCTGCATGCAGATCGTTCTCAAGGTTGACCCATCAATCTAAGAGGTAACAACACGTGTAAGCTAAGATGTGGAGCAGGCATGGAAAAGGCAAATTCTAAGACATTTACAGAAGGAGATTGAGGTTCATTATTCCTATTTTATAAATGTTTCTTTATAAAAATAACTAAAAATAAAAACATAAGAACCATAAAACAAGCCTGCTTTTTAAAAAGAGAGCAACAAACAAGTGTATGCTTATTTGTGGAGCTCAAAAGGCAGAAATAAGAACTAAAGTCACCACGCAAAGTTATCAATATCATTACTAACATTTTATTTTTTTCTACCTCCTCATTTAATCCCACAGAGACAAGAAAAGCACTCAAGTTAAAACTGGCCTAGTCCAAAAAGAAACACTCCAACACTGCCATATTCCTCTGACCACATAAAGTGGGGACTACTTCCACCTTCTTTTTTTTTCTTTTTTCCACCTTCTTTTTGACTAAGTGCATTGAACCAAATGCTGAAGGGATTATAGATAACTTCCCCAACCCAGGAGTTATATAAGCAAACCTATTTACTTTATGGATTAATTTTGCAACACTATCTTAAATATATTTATTTCAGCCTTAATTCCAATACTTCAGTTCACCTCATTGGAAAAGAAATGCTACAGCTGGGAATGCTATAGCTGTGTAATGTGGTAAACAACAGCCTAACATACATAAGAAACCAGGTGCCATTTTCAGCACTAGTGGGAAGCCTGAAGAGTAAAACTCAGCAAACCATGTTAGCTCTTCACAGAACACAACCATGAGTATGTCAGTATATGGCACAAATTGCTTTCCAGGAGACAGATGTCCTTCAACACATTTTTGGTGACGAAGTCAACTGATCCATGCATCAACTTTGCTCTACCAACAACTTAAACTAGGAATGACATTAACCTGCTTACTAGGCAGCTCTAGTGTTTAAAAAAATCAATTCTTTCTGATACAAACAAAGCCAATATTACATTCATTTACATACATACATAATGATGCATACTCATGATTTTTTAGCGGCTACAAGGAGTGAAGGATTAGCGAGCACATCTTATTGCCTCTCTCATCCTATCCACATTATAACCACTACAAAGTGTGACAACTTTGATACGCCCAAGACAGGGTTTTTCTGTGTAACTACTCTGGCTGTCCTAGAACTCATTCTGAAGACCAGGCTGGCCTCAGACTCACCTGCCTCTGCCTCCCAAAGTGCTGGGATTAAAGGCATATGCTACTACTGCTTGGCGTAAACTCTTTAAAAAAATGCATACATAGTTTTGAGCATCAACATGCTTGATTTTTTATATTGGGACTGTAGTTACAGGTAAAACTCCTGCTTACTGCGTGTGAGCCCCAGGTCTGACCTGCAGTCTCTATCCCTTACAGTTGGGTCTGCTATGAGATGAGGGACTAAACTGAGACCATGATTGAGTTTTGAGAACTAGGGAACCCTGGGTTGACCTAGAATTCCCTATGTAGACCATGGGGGACTCAAACTCAAGATATCCACTTGTCTCTGCCTCCCAGATGGCACGCACCATCACACCTGGCCTTAATTGGGACTTCTGAGCTGATTAGACATCGTGGTAAAGAACGTCTTTCTCTGGGGCTGGAGAGATGGCTCAGGGTTAAGAGCATTGTCTGCTCTTCCAAAGGTCCTGAGTTCAATTCCCAGCAATCATATGGTGGCTCACAACCATCTGTAATGGGGTCTGGTGCCCTCTTCTGGCCTGCAGGCATACACACAGACAGAATATTGTATATATAATAAATAAATATTTAAAAAAAAAAAGAACACCTTTCTCAAATATGCCTGCAAATAGGAGTCTTGTGATTTACTTTCCACAAATAGGTTCACTGGGCAAATACGTTTACAATGAAATGTATTTCTCCATAAAGAATCCTAACAGACACTAGCATGTTAAAGAGTCTAAGAAATTTCACAGTGACACTTTACCAACTGAGCTTTTTCCAAGCCCCTTCTGTAGTATGTAGTATGTGGTTAAAACACATCATCTCATTTGGTTCCAGATTCTAGCTGGCATATCTATACAATATATTTCCTTACCAGTAGGTCAGACGACCTTACTCTCACTGCTTTGTAGAATCTGCTCATCTCTAGCACTACTGAGGGTGAGGGTGAGCCTAGGAGACAGCACCCTATCCTGTCAATAGGACTCATGTAATGGCCATGGAACAAATGTGCTTTCTTTATAGGTTAGAAGAGGGCATTAGACCTCCTACATTTGAAGTTACATCTGATGTGGGTGCTGGGAACCAAAACTTGGGTGCTCTGCATAAGCAGCAAGCTTTCTTAACTGCTGAGCCATCTCTCCAGTACCATAAATGAGCTTTCATATCTGCCAACCTTTGCCACTGTTTCTCCACCCTTTTTTGAAATAAGAGTCCCCATGTATCCCTAGAACTTGTTATGCAGACCAGGTTGGCCTTGAACTCACAGACATCTAGTGTCTCTGCCTCCCAAGTGCTGGGGACGAAAGGTATGTGCCACCAGGTCTGGCTCCTCTCCCTTTAAATAAAACCAAGCCCTATCTAGAAAACCATAAGAAAATAAGGTTACCTGTGGAGTGAGATTGTGAAGAACCAGCCAGTAACTAGGACGGACAGAACCACCATCACTCCAGGTAGAGGCTGCAAACAGAAAAATGATGAAGAAGACCGATAAAAACAACAACAACAACAACAACAACAAAAAAACCACCCAATTTATGCAGATCTTCCCTCCCTTCTTCCCTCTCTCCCTCCCCCTCCCAACCTTGATCTTCCTGGTCTCTTCTAGTTCTTTTTTTTTTTTTTTTTTGTTTTTCGAGACAGGGTTTCTCTGTGGCTTTGGAGCCTGTCCTGGAACTCGCTCTGTAGACCAGGCTGGTCTCGAACTCCCAGAGATCCGCCTGCCTCTGCCTCCCGAGTGCTGGGATTAAAGGCGTGTGCTACCACTGCCCGGCTCTTCTACTTCTTGAACCCAGTGAATTCATTTGCTTTGTGTAAGCCAGTCTTCCATCCCACCTGACCGCCCTCTCCAGTTGCTCATTTTTACTTCATGTGCCCTAGAGAGGTCCTGGGTCTCTTCATCTGTACTGTGCACAACTTTACAATCAAAAGATGCTTTTTCTTCTACCAGACAGCTATGCTCTCCTCCATTCAGCCCTCCCCAAGGTGTTAAATAGCCATTTCTACTTGGCTGATCCTCCTCACCTGAGGCAATCCGAGAGTCCTGTGTTCCCCACCCCCTGACTGATCTGGGTGCTGTGCTGCTCCAAGGAGATGCCGGTTTGGGGTTGGTCAGGCCAGGAGGTGGGCGGGGCAACGGTGTAGTGTTCCTGGAGGAGATGTGGTTTTTCCACATCTTATTGGAGAGATGAGTGGGGTTGTGTCCTATGGGATCTGGGGACCACGTGGATTTGTAATCAGGGAACTTTGCTGTGAGAAGAGAAAAGTCAAGAAGAAGCCACATTAGATGGGCACCTGCCCACAAACAGACACAAATTTTATTTGCACATAAACACAAATATATTTATATTCTATAACTCTGTTAAATTCTGTCTCAAAAACATTGAAAAGTAGCAGGAAGCATACATTTTAAGAGCAGCAGTATAAGCTGGGCAGTGGTGGCACATGCCGTTAATCCCAGCATTAGGGAGGCAGAGACAGGCAGATCTATTAAGTTCTGAAACCAGCCTGGTCTACAAGAGCAAGTTTCAGGACAGCTAGGGCTACACAGAGAAATCCTGTCTCAGAAAAAATAAGGGGGGGGGGCAGTAAGAAAAGAGTGCTAAATTTTAAAATGATTCTAAACTGACAAAGATTTAATAAGGTAACTAATCTCCTTTCTCCTACTTTCTTGGGTAAACACAACTTGAAAGAAAAGAGAAACTCATGGAGAAAATATTTCTGAGGAGGACAGACAGGGTTAGACTGTTAATACAAACAGAACTAGAGTACTCACAAAATGCTCACTAACTACCATGAAAATCAAAACAAAACTAGAAAATTATGCATTGCTTGTGATTTGATACATGTTAGACACCAACACTGATTTTAAAAATAGTCAATAAGGCTGGAGCAATGGCTTAGTGGTTTGGATTACTTGTTGCTCTTGTAAAGGATCTGGGTTCAATTTCCATCATGGTGGCTCAAAACCATTGCAATTCCAGGGGATCCCACAACCTCTTTTTTTTTTTTTGGTTTTTTTTTTTTGAGACAGGGTTTCTCTGTGGCTTTGGAGCTTGTCCTGGAACTAGCTCTGTAGACCAGGCTGGTCTCGAACTCACAGAGATCCGCCTGCCTCTGCCTCCCGAGTGCTGGGATTAAAGGCATGCGCTACCACTGCCCGGCCCCACAACCTCTTTTAACATCTGTGGACACTAGGCACATACATGCAGGCCAATACTCATACACATACAATAAAATAAAAATATCTAAAAGAGGGGCTGGAGAGATGGCTCAGAGGTTAAGAGCATTGCCTGTGCTTCCAAAGGTCCTGAGTTCAATTCCCAGCAACCACATGGTGGCTCACAACCATCTGTAATGGGGTCTGGTGCCATCTTCTGGCCTAAAGGCATACAGACAAAATATTGTATACATAATAAATAAATAAATATTAAAAAAAATATCTAAAAGAAAGTCATCAAATAACCACCTCTGCTTACTAGGCTTAAGGTACCCGACAGTAGTGTGGGTAACACAATTATCTTGCAGAGCCTCTGATTCAGATGCGAGACAGAAAAACAGAACTGGTATCCTTGACAACAGCACGTATGTTCAATACAGAGAAGACAGAGAACATTAGGCTGTCAGCAGAGGCTCTACAAAGATAAATCTGAAGGGTTTACATCAAGGGATAGGCTCAGAAAAGCAGGAAAAAGAAAATCTAGGTTCAGCAGAAGTTCTTTCAGTTTTCATGGGGCAGAGAGCTAAGAGGCCATAGGTACACTGTGGCTATGTAAGCTGCAGTAGAGTTTCCATACGACTCAGCATAAATCAGAGTGAGAATAGAATGAACCAAAGGGAGTGGAGATGAAAATTATGACTGTCAAATATATTCCCTGAGAGACAGGGCTTGGGGTCCAGCGAATGAAGTAGGAAAGACTGTTCTAAGGATAGCCAAAATAACTGTTAGGGAAGTCTCAGGTCAATGTCCAACTGCAAGAAGATAATTCCTGAGAGCTGGGTTTTTATAGGAACAAGGGAAAAAGAAGAGTGCCAGAGAAGGCAGCCATGTGCCTGTGTGGAAAAGCAGGTGGGGAGACTGAGGCTGAGGATTGCTTCAGCCCAGGAAACAGAGAGCAACCCAGGTAACTGAGATGTCTCAAAACTTTAGCCAGTTGTGGCGGCACAGTCCTATAAGGGCACATGAGAGTGAAGGCAGGAGGAGCAAAGGGAATGTGAGGCTATCCTTAGCTACATGAGACCCCGTGTCAAAAGAAAAACAACCAAACACATTCCTTAATCAAACAAAAGGAAGAGTTAGACAAGTTTGTTTTGTTATTCTATTATGGTGTCCATGCACAGGTGTGACTGTGGGTGTCGGCATGCACAGCATGGAGCATGTGTGGATCTCTCCTACTGCGGGATCTGGGCACCACAGCAGTCGTCAGGCTGTGTCAGCTTGTGCAAGTTTTACAAGTAAATGAAGTCCGATCAAGAAAAATATGGGGCTGGGCGGTGGTGGTGCACGCCTTTAATCCCAGCACTCGGGAGGCAGAGGCAGGCGGATCTCTGTGAGTTCGAGGCCAGCCTGGTCTACAAGAGCTAGTTCCAGGACAGGAACCAAAAGCTACGGAGAAACCCTGTCTCGAAAAATAAAAAATTAAAAAAAAAAAAAAAAAAAAAAGAAAGAAAAATATGGGGAAGGTGTTAAGCACTAAGGTGCTTCCTTTACAATTTAGGCTCAGTCAGTTCTGAGGCAAAATGAAACAGTATTTTTGTTTGGTATATTGACACAGGGTCTTAACCCACGCCAGACTGTAGGAATTCATTCACAATCATCTCAGTTAATCTACTAAGTGAGGGTAACCCATACCACAGTAGGAGAAAGACAAAAGGGAGTTTATGCTCAAGTTGACTATGATGCCTGGCCTATAGGAACACTCAGCAAGTGTGCAGGGTTACTGCGGCACTGTTGGTGTGATACAACTGCCCTCCTTAGTTTTTTTTTTCCTCCTCGAGACAGGGTTTCTCTGTAGCTTTGGAGCCTGTCCTGGAACTCACTCTGTAGACCAGGCTGGCTACAAATTCACAGAGATCCACCTGTCTCTGCCTCCTGAGTGTTGGGATTAAAGGCATGTGTCACCACCATCCAGCTAAATTTTTTTTTGTACCTTGGTTTTTAAAATAATGACTTTCCCTTAACCTGTAGCACACTGAATTGGCTAGACTGGCTACTAGCAAAGCCCAAGGAACTTCCCGTCTTTGCGCCTGAGCACTGGGATTACAGATGTATGCATCACACCTGAGCATCTTCTTTTGAGATAGGATTCACTATGAATGTCTTGGAATTTGCTATGTAGAAAAAGCCCCAAACTCATAGACCTACACCTTCTCCACTTCCTAAATGCTAGGACTAAAAGTGTGCTAAGTTGTCCCTGATTTTATTTTTTTTAAGTTTATGTGCATGGTGTTTTGCCTGCACATACGTCTGTGAAGGTGCCAGATCCCCTGGAACTGGAGCTACAGACAGTTGTGCGCTGCCATGTGGGTGTTGGGAATTGAACCCAGATCCTCTGGAAGAGCAGTCAGTGCTCTTAACCAGTGAGCCATTGCTCAGGTCTGCCTGATTTTTTTATGTGGGTGTAGGGGACTGAACTCAGGTTTCCATACTTGCACAGCAAGCATTTTACCCACTGAACTATTGTTCCAACTGCTACTAGCTGCTCTATTCCTCATGAAGTCTCAACAAACAAATAAATGACAAAACCCAACCAGCCCTCCCTGCCACGCCAAATAATGAGGATCTCAAGTAGTACTGGCAAATTAATCAAGGTCCTCTTTTTGACTCTGGCCATCTATTTTTCATTATGTCTCTAAGTCAGATTTTGGGGGAAGAGTAGGCTATTGCTGGTTGCCTCAACACTAATCTGGATTAAACTGTCTCTTCCTATGGCCCTTGATTTCTTGGTAGGCTGGCTAACAGAAGCATATGGTCATCAGGTCATGAACTCTGCCCTGTGGATATCCCCAGCTATATGACATTCTATTCCTGTTAGCTTTGACCAATGTAGTCCTGTGAGAGACCTACCCAATCTCTGTGAGACTAGGAGCTCCCTGAGTGGATAGTGAAGGCAAAGAAAGGTTGCACCCCCATCTGTGCTGACCGACACTCCTTAAGAAGTAAATGCCAGCGGAAAAGAGGAACCTCTCAGTCAACTGCCAGACAAGAGGGGAAAAGCCACCAAGTACCTGAAGTGCTATGAACGTTGGTAAAGGAGTTGTCAGAGGCACTGTAGGGCCAGGCACCAGGTGAAGGCAGCGAGGTGTTGAGGGAAGAATTAGACCCTTGAGGTGACAAATGAAGAAGAAATATTGGAACAAATGTCAGTATGACTAGGGAACCCTTGTGAGCGTTTTATTTAAACTTAAATACAAGGGAAAACAAAATTCAACCAAACAATAAAGACGTAAAAAGCAGTATTATTCTATTTTTTGTTAAAATTATCAGGTACTGGGCTGGAGAGATGGCTCAGTGGTTAAGAGCACTGCCTGCTCTTCCAAAGGTCCTGAGTTCAATTCCCAGCAACCACATGGTGGCTCACAACCATCTGTAATGAGGTCTGGTGCCCTCTTCTGGCCTGCAGACATACACACAGACAGAATATTGTATGCATAATAAATAAATAAATATTTAAAAAAAATTATCAGGTACTACAACAAACGGAATTAAAGCCATGGTGAACAACTATGAAAATGCTGGTGTCTGCAGCTCTCACTTACCTGTGGTGTTATCCCGCAGCAGTTGGTGGTCAGTATCTACAATGGGAGATGTAGCTGTACCCCCCAGCACACTTCCTGGAGTCACATAGGGGTCAGATTCAGGGTCAATATTTTGGATACCTTTCCATGGCACTCCTGGTTGGAATTCTGAGACATGAAGAAATGTTAGGGATGAGAGATAGTTAAAAAAAAGTTTAATTTACACAGTTCCTACTTTATTTATTACTATTGTTTTTAGTCTTACTATGTAACTCCGGCTGTCCTGGAACTCACAGAGATCTGCCTGCCTCTGCCTTCTGAGTGCTGGGATTAAAGTAAAGGCCACTATGCCTGACCTTTATTTGTTATTATTATGCTAAAATAACTGTTTAGTAGAAAAAACATGATCCCGTGAAAAGTCTAAATAATGAATCTACTGTACATCGTATTGTCATCATGAGATAAAAACACTCTGAGCAAATGCTTTTGCCGGCAGCAAGTCTATTAGTATAGTGTCTGTCCATTCACCTGTCAGGTGGTGAACTGGATCATATTCATAAAGGCCTGGATCCATATATGATTTTTACAGCTACTAGAGGAATTACAATCTTAAAGGAAAGTAAGAACCTGTGATAATGAAGTGAGGCCAAGAACTGGGAGAAAAATCTGGGCTTGAGACCAGTGACCTTTCCCATTTTTCTTAATTAGGTACTGGCCAAAATGAACATAATAAAATGAAATATAAGTGATCATTGCTTCACAGACGGTTCAGGAATAGGTGTAAATAATTTAACTGATTGTGAGAAAACCTAGACAATATATGGAAGCTTATCATGTTTGTATTGACCCACTTAAGCTATATTTAAAGATATGTGATATCATTAACAAACTGATATTCCCCTAATTGTGTTGAGAAGAGCAATATGTATTGTATATGAAGAGGCGGCATTATTTCATCTCACTCTAATAAAATGTAATTATATACATTTATGTCTGCATTACATAAGGATAGAAGGACAATTATTAATTTGTGCTTTTCCTTTATTAAACTACAATGAAAACAGAATATAAAGACAAAAGGAAGGAGGAAGGAAGAGAGAGACACAAGTCTTACTGAACTCATCACCATGTACCTGGGGCATATTAATGACATATCTGACTAATAAATCTATCAATCGATTCAACACATACTTTAAAATAGGTTATGTTATATGGCATCCGACATACAGAACAAATGCCAAGTCCCAGCTTTAAGGCCACTTATTATCACTAACTACGCATTTCTTGAAGATCTTTTATTTTCCCACGGCACATATTTCAGGGTGTATGCCTTGCCTTTATCAGACAATGAAGCATGGGGCTTCCTCAGTAAAGCAAGCTACACAAGCTTGTGCAGAACCTAAATTCAACAGAAGTACTATTCTAGAAAAGGCATTTTATGAACAATACCTGGAGGCCAACTGGCATTGCTGGATTTACTTCCGATTTTATTAGTCGGTGGAGATTTGGCAGGTAACCAGCTATCACCAGCAGGACCCGTATGGCCACCCAGCGTGTCACCTGGGATTATATCAAACTGGTTGTATGGTGACCCTCCTCGGGTCTTACCAGGGGCCACTATAGCGCCTGAGAAAAGAGAGAAATAACTGTTTAAGAAAGAGCTCTAGGGGGCTGGAGAGATGGCTCAGAGGTTAAGAGCACTGGCTGTTTTTCAGAGGGTCCAGGTTTGATTCCCAGAACCCACAGTGCAGCCTGCAACTGTCTGTAACTCCAATTCCAGGGACTCTAACACACTCCTATGACCTCTGTGGGGAATAGGCATGCACACAGTGCACAGACATAAAAGCAGACCAAACATTCACACACATAAAATAATAAAAAGATCTCTAATAAACCTAATAAACAGAACTTTCTAGCCTCCCCCACCCTCAAAGGTTTTTTTTGTTTGTTTTGTTTTGTTTTTCAGACAGGGTTTCTCTGTGTAGCCTTGGCTGTCCTGGAACTCACTTTGTAGACCACGCTGACCTCGAACTCACACAGATTTGCCAGGCTCTGTCTCCTGACAGCTGGGATTAAAGGTGTGCACCACTATAGCCCAGCTCAAAGACAGGTTTTTAAAGCTTATAGAATAAAGACTTTGGGCTGCTACTACTAGCAGTATGACCATAATGAGTCATCTCACTTCTCTGAGTCTCTCCATTTTTCAACTAAATCCACAGGAGTCTTCTCATTCTACAACAGTCCTTTCAATCTGGAAACCCCAGATGTTATATGTCAGAGAATCATACACACTATGAAACACAGTATCTACATGGCTGCTACACTAACTGCTCAAAAGTACCAAATGGGAAAAACTGGACAACTTTAGCACCTTGGAGAGTATTAAGTGATCTTTTTATTAATGCTTTCTACCTCTGCTCTTAAGGGCTGGTTAAGCTTGGGTTATCTGGAATCTGCAATATTCAGAGTCCATTGGAGAAAAAGCCATCTGCAATTGCTTTAAATTCCAAGGCAGTGAGGTAGAATTCCTGCCCAAGGTCTTTGCCAACACACCAGCAATGAACTCTACATTTCTAAGCCCAGGGCCGCCTCACATACAGAGAACAGCAAATCCTTTGTCCCTGTATTTCCAGAGATATTCTTGGGGCTTTGTTAGTGCTTCCTTCAAGCATTTTTATGCCGGAAAAGTTGAGAGTTTAAATTCACTAAGTTAACAACAATAAATTTTTACTTTAAATAAAAATTCAGGAGCATACAGGATATTATTTCCTTATTTCCCACATAAAGTTCATATAGTCTGTCACTCATCTGACATAGTCTTAGAGTGGTGGTCATGAGCACATAAAATGATCTGCAGGATAATGTATTAAAATGCTTGGATAAATATCCAATAAAGCAATCTGTTTGGTTTGGAATGAAAGGAGTATGATTAAAACTGTCTCCATTTTCTGCTAAGAGGACATTTACCTTTCTAAGGACAATGACACTAATCTGGTTCAGAGGCACAGCACAGTGAGGTAGTGGAAAATGAAAGGAACAATTATCTTGGGGATTGCTAAGACATGGGGAAAACATTATCTATATTAGCTGATGAGGAGAGAGGACACTGTAACTCTGAGCTTTCCTCTCACATGCCATTTTACATTTATTACCCAAACCTGGTAAATCACTGGCCTAAGGGAGCTGTGAAAGTGCTCAGAGCTACAAGACTAGGGTTGCTCAGTCCATAAAACAGATTTTAAAATTTCAGTAAATTATTCTTGATTTTGATCCTACTTAGCAGGGTAGGAGACCTGGGTGGCTCCTTCCCCAGTCTCTGGATGGGATTACTAAAGAGGTTTTATAATGGGCTTAATAAAGAGGATTTATAATGGGAACCTGGAAGGCTGCAGGCTGAATTAGTTGACTGGGTTAAGCCTGCCAGGGCTCTGCCACAAGAACGACCAGATACTTATTTATATTGACTCTCATAAAGACAACTCTGAGTCCAAGAAAAATACTGACAAATTAAACAAACAATTCATTGAAGGCCGAAAGAAGATCCAGACCTCTTATCTTTCTTCTAGGGAAATAGAAAACACTTAAAGAAAATTATGGACAGGCAATGCTAATCCACAATCAAAATACAATGTCAATGCTGTCCTGGCGGGACACTAATTCATAAAGAACAAGAGGATCTGGAAAAAGTCCAATCCTTATGAATTCTCTTCTACTAGTTATCTTTTGGAGTTTAGGGACATTTTCTTCTTTTTCTGAGACAGGGTTTCACTATGTGTTCTAGTATAGCCTTGAACTATGTAGATCAAGCTAGTCTTTAATTTACGCATACAACTATACCAAGTTAGGGCAGGAGTTTGAGAGAGGCATGGACTACAAATTCTTAGCAAGATCTTGTCTCAGAAAACCAAACCAACCAACCAACCAACCAAAACCTCAACAAGAGGATTCTGTTCTCTCACCCACTTTAATGGATTTTAATCTTATGGATGCCCAAGTTCATAAATATTATCTCAATCCCATGACAAGTGGGACATTATGCCTAATCTCCCTCTGACAGATGGTAATAAACCTTGGAAAAATAACAAGATTCATTAACAAAAACTAAAGATCTGTACTTCAAAAAATTACCAAAGGAAGGCTAGAGAGATGGCTCAGTAGTTAAGAGCACTGGCTGCTCTTCTATAGGACATCGTTTTGATTCCTAGCATCCATATGGTAGTTTACAGCCAGCCCCTCCCCCAAGACAGGGTTTCTCTATGTAATCTTGGCTGTCTTGGAACCCATTCTGTAGACCAGGCTGGCCTCAAAATCACAGAGAACCACGGGCCTCTGCCTCCTGAGTGCTAGAATTAAAGGCAAATGCCATCACAGCCTGAAGACCATCTTAACTCCAGTCCCCAGCAATCCAATGCCCTCTCTTGGTCTCTGAGGTCACTGCATACATGTGGTGCATAGAAATACATGCAGCCAAAATATACATATACAAGAGCTTAAAAAAGGGTTGGAGAGATGGCTCAGTGATTAAGAGCCCTGGTTGTTCTTCCAGAAGACCTGGGCTTAATTCCCAGTACCCACACGGCGCTCACAACTGCCTATTAATTCCAGTGCTGGGCAACCCAGCATCCATGGCAAAAGACCAATGTGCATAAAATAAAGTTTAAAAAAATTGTTTTTTTTTTTTTTAAATAAATCACATCTGGGTGGTGGTGGTACCTCCCAGCACTTGGGAGGCAGAAGCAGGATTACCGTGAATTTGAGGCCAGCATGGTCTACAAAGTGAGTTCCAGGATAGTCAGGCTGTCACACAGAGAAAGCCTGTGTTGGAAAAAAAACAAAAACAAAACCCAAACCAACCAAACAAACAAACAAAAAGGCAGCAGGACTTGTATGAGTTTAAGACCAGCATGGCCTACAAGAAAGACATTGCAATTATTCATTTATTTAACTAAAGAATTCTTTTTGAAACAAGGTCTTATATAATTTTATATAAGTCAGCCTGGTACTTGCTTGACTAGAACTCACAGAGATCCACCTGGTTCTGCCTCCTGAGTGATGGGATTACATACTAAAGCCCCCTGAGATACTGCCTTAAAGTATGGGTGGACATATCTTCAATGTCAACACTGTGAAGGCTGAGGCAGACAGATTTCTGGGAGTTTTAGGTCAGCCTGGGATACAAAGACCCAGTCTTAAAAAAAACACAAACATACACATATGAAGCCAACAAAACATGCAGGATACTTGGTCAAGGACTGAGTAACATCAGAAGATTCTGCTAGCAACATGGGGCTGTTTGCTCTCTCACCGTTTTTGTGCATGGTGGCTTCTTGTGTGGCCACAGAAGGCAGCCCTTCCATCATGGAGGTCCACTGTTTGAAGCGAGACTCAGTCCCAGCCTCCTTGCCACCAACCATGCCATAGTCCATGCCGCCAGAGCTGAAGCCTGGAAAGAGATCACAGTTATGTCTATATGTTTCTTGAGCCACAAATCGAGTGCCCAAAGCCAGGAGGTGGTGGTGCACACCTTTAATCCCAGCACTTGGGAGGCAGAGGCAGGTGGATCTCTGAGTTGGAGGCTAGCCTAGCCAACAGAGTGAATTCTTCAGTCCTGCTTGATAAGAACTCTGCTGTCTCGTTTTCATTGTATGAAAATGGGTGTCACTGTCATCTCATTAGGTACATGTCAATGCCTACCTACACCCGCATTTTTACTGAGCAAACAAACATTTGTGCCTGACAGCTGGCCAGATTCAACCACTCTCCAGTCATATCTGATACCAACATGGAAGAGCAACTTGTCTTAAGCTTAAGGTTGCCAGGGGAGGAGAGGAGCTGCACAATCTAGGGTTTAGGAAACTGGTACAAGGTCTGACTCAAGACTTCAGGTACGCTTAGAGAATGGCAAGAAGCCCAATGCAATGTGTTCTGGTCTGCCAAGCAGCTAGAGTCTCTTAATTTCTTCCTCTAAAACAGAAAAGAATTTTGGGAGAAAGGGGGGAAAGAGAAGAGAAATAAAGGAGGAGGAAGAAGAAGGAAGACGATGATGACAGAAAAGGAGGAGGAAGAAAAAGAGGAGAGTATGCCCCAGAAAGAGAGACACAGAGAGAGAAAGAGAGAGAGCGTATGCACTAGAGCACTGTTTTAGAACAAAACTGGACAGATGCAGGCAGATCTCTGTGAGTTCAAGGACAGTCTGATCTATGTAACAAGTTCCAGGACCCAATTTCAAACAAACAATCCACAACCAACAAAACAAAAATAACAAAAAACCAGAAAAATAGTATGAAGGATTCTAAGAAACATTATTCTTGTTACCCTTTCAACCTGAAGTATTTTGTATATTATTTGATGTATTCAGCCTTAGAAAAACCCGAAACATTTGTTATTATTTTTTGGTTTGTTCTTTATGTAGTCCTGGAATTCCCTATGTAGACCAGGCAGACATTAAAGGCATGTACCACCATGCCAGCATTTTTGCTATCTTACCTTCGGTACTTTTTTTTTTGGGGGGGGGGGTCAGGTCTAGAAATAGGGCCATCCTGGAACTTGCTTTGTAGACCAGGCTGGCCTCAAACTCACAGAGATCCACCTGCCTCTGTCTTCTGAATGCTGGAATTAAAGGCATGTGCTACCACTGCCCGGCTGATACTTAATATTTTAGCAAAAACTCAAACCCTCTATTATGTTTTAAAGAAATATTTTTTAGCAAAATCTTACTGTTGTAGGCTTAGTACATTACTCAGAACAGGTACCCAAACATAGAGATAACACGCCAACATTTGTGGCGCCAAGGCAGAATCAAGTTCAAGGCCAGTTAGTTATAGAAAAGTTCCAGGTTAAGTAGCAAGGCTTGTCATAAAACACATTCATTATTTAAAAAGCAGAAATAGGGCCGGGCGATGGTGGCTCACGCCTTTAATCCCAGCAGTCGGGAGGCAGAGGCAGGTGGAGTTCGAGACCAGCCTGGTCTACAGAGCTAGTTCTAGGACAAGCTCCAAAGCCACAGAGAAACCCTGTCTCAAAAAACCAAAAAAAAAAAAAAAAAAAAAAGAAAAAAAAAAAAACAGAAATAGGTCAGGTGTGGTAGTGCAGACTTTTAATCCCACATGTAAGACTGCACTCTACTACTAAGCTACATACTCAACACTACTGTACTTTTTGACAAGGAGGTATTAGAATAAGTTCAGCACCACAGACTACTCTAGCCAGGACTTCACACAAGACACTGTACTTTCCCAATACACAGAGACTGGACAACAAATGATACAGCTAGTTTTCCAAGGATTTGATCATTATCTCAATTTTCTCAGGGTTCCCTAAAGATACTGTTGCCCCCAAGACAGCAGGAAGTAATTTTAAGAATATGACACCCACATTCTCAAGAGGTGGGATGATGGGTACTTTTTGGTTATTTGGTGGGATATGGATGTTTATCATCATTTAGGGGGGTTGGTTGCAAATTGTTGCTGGTCATATTAAAGGGGAAAACTAAGCAAGGGAGGCTAGATTCAAGGATCTCTGTCTGAAAAGAAAAAGGGGGATATAGGAATGATAAGATAAAAGGGTGGATTATTCAATCTACTTTTAAACTAAAAAAGAACTATTACTCTCAAATATTTTACATCAGTATGAATTTTTGTATATTGTTACAAATTTAAAGGTTATTTTTGTTAGAACATACTATACATGTGTTTCTACTCTTATTTAAGGTACTGTACCTATGCAGTGTATTTAAAAATGTAATAAGTAGTTCTAGTCCTTGAAAATTATTATTACAAACTATTTAGGCTAATTAAGAAATGCAGGTTAGTAGTTAGTCATTTATAACAATCAAACTTGTAGTCATATTAGATATGTTTTCAAGGCTAAAAATATTTTAGATAGGTGGTCTTCAAACACTTCAGAGATCTACAGAATATGGCATTCATTTAAGATGTTTTAATAACAAGGTTTTTCATGATAGTGAGATAGATATGTTTCTGGCAGCAACAATCTACTTCAATAAATAAATAAATAGGAGGGGGGTGATGGGTATCAAAGAACCTTCATATGGAATTTGTTTTCAGTGTGGCAAAGCAAGCCACTGGGCAAGAAACTGTCCTTGCTTTGACTGCTGACAGTATGCTGTACAAACTGGACAAGCAGGACACAAAAGAAGGTGACTGCTGAGCTTTCTGCAAAGACAAGGTAGGATAGTCCTTTAAAACTGCTTCACAGAAAAGTCTGTCAGATATTCTAGGCCTATAGGTCAAAGACAGATGCCCCAATGTTGTAGAGGAACCTTGAGCGACTGTCCAGGCAGCCAGCTGCTTCTGTCATTTCTATAGATTTGAAAGTTGCTTGCTCTTCATTTCCTGTTTATTCTGGTAGCATTATATCCTTCTCCAGCCTCTGATGGGGTTGAAGAATAGTTATAGTTTTACAGTTTTCCTTGTTACAGAGTTCAGAAAAGGAACTTATGTAAGAGATGTAAAGTTTATAAGAAACATAAAAGTTTAAGTTGCTTATCTAAGAAGATATTTTAAGGTCTAAAAAAATATTGGGGCTGGAGAGATGGCTCAGTGGTTAAGAGCACTGGCTGCTCTTCCAGAGGTGTTCTGAGTTCAATTCCCAGCAACCATATGATGGCTCACAACCATCTGTAATGAGATCTGGTGCCCTCTTCTGGCATGCGGGCATACATGGAGGCAGAATGTTGCACACATAATAAATAAATAAATAAATAAATTTTTAGGATGGTAATACAAGTTATGATAGAAAGTGGCAGAGATATAAAACTTTGGACTCACTAAGATAGGACAGATAATACAGGACTTTCTCTGAATTTGCAAAATACATATGAACTAGACGTTGTGAGTGCAATTATTACCTGATAATTATCCTTATTGTATACAGTTTTACTGTTCAAGTTAAAACCTTTCTTTTTTATAATTGTCATAATACCTGACAATTGTTCTCACTGTATATAGTTTTACTATGTTTGAGCTAATACCTTTCCTTTTTGCTTAGACAAAATGGGGGAAATGCTAAAGGATAATCTTTTTGTACACTGTGACTATGCCTGTGTCTTTGCCAAGGCACCTTCTGATTGGTTTAATAAAGAGCGGAATGGTCAACAGCTAGGCAGGAGAGGATAGGTGGAACTTCCACGGAAAGAGAGGAAGAGGAGAAGAAATGTAGGTATGTGGAGAGCCACTAAGATATGGAGCAAGTCAGACATATGATACAGAGGAAAGGTAATTGAGCCATGAAGCAAAATGTAGATTATTAAAAGCAGGTTAAGGGGCTGGAGAGATGGCTCAGAGGTTAAGAGCATTGCCTGCTCTTCCAAAGGTCCTGAGTTCAATTTCTGGCAACCACATGGTGGCTCACAACCATCTGTAATGAGGTCTGGTTCCCTCTTCTGGCCTCCAGACATACACACAGACAGAATATTGTATACGTAATAAATAAATAAATTATATATATATATATATATATATAAATTATAACTTAAGCCAGGTGGTGGTGGCGCACGCCTTTAATCCCAGCACTTGGGAGGCAGAGGCAGGCGGATCTCTGTGAGTTCGAGACCAGCCTGGTCTACAAGAGCTAGTTCCAGGACAGGCTCCAAAACCACAGAGAAACCCTGTCTCGAAAAACCAAAAATAAAAAAATAAAAAAATTATAACTTAATTAACCTGCTATATATATATATATATATATATATATATATATATATATATCACGTTAATTAAGTTATAAGAGCTAGTTGGGAAAAAAACCTAAGCTAAAGGCCAAGCCTTCATAATTAATATTGAGTCTCTATGTCATTATTTGTGAGCTGGTAGCCCAAAGAATTCCTGTTTTGTGTTCATATGCTGTGTTTAAAGTCTAAAGTCAGAAGCACCTCCACATCTATGTAACTAGCCTCTTCCCTCAAGCTCACCCTTCATAGAAAACAAGACTGAGAAGGTAACAAAGTTACCACTGTACTTGACAGGCCACGCTGACCTTCCATAGCCAAGAGAAGAAGGCAAATACAGGCAAGCACAGGAAAGGGTCTGTCATATGTCAAGTAGAAAAAAGGTATTTTTTCCTCCCAGCACCGAGAACAAAAGCCAGGCTTTACACTTATTAAGAATTTGCTCTACTACTTAAAGCCCCAGAGAGTTTAAGTCAGTTCTCAGATCACATGTAGAAGACAGCTAGGGCTGGGACACGGTGGCGCACACCTTTAATCCCAGCACATGGGAGGCAGAAGCAGGCGGATCTCTGTGAGTTTGAGGTTAGCCTGGTCTACAAAGTGAGTTCCAGGACAGTTAGGACTGTTACACAGAGATATCCTGTCTCAGAGGGGGAAAAAATAAAAATAAATAAAAGAAGACAGCAGGCAAAAGCTACCCTACTACTTCCTAGCTCTAGCTGGAATTCTTAGTAGGTCAGGGCAAAAAGCAGCCGTCTGTCCAATCAGTGGTTGGTCCAGGAAGAGAGATTTCAGGTATCCTCACTCATTTTTTCTTTTTTTTTTTTAAAACACAGATTGGTATCTTCTTTATCAAAACAAATTCTAAATGCCATTAAAGAAACAATCAAACCAACAAAAAACCTAGCGTCCTGTCCTGTAGCTCAGGCTGGCCTTGAACTTGCAATGCTCATGGCTTAGTTTCCCAAGCACTGAAGTAACAGGCATGTGTCACCGTATATAGCCATTAATTTTATTTTTTAATCAGTATTGTCTCACTGCCTGGACTCTGCTTACAGCATGTTTTCCATTTCTAAATAGATAAAAGTCTCAATTAATGTCAAAAATTTAAAAGGTGCCATACCCCACCTTTAAAAAAAAACTACCTTAATGGGGGCTGGAGAGATGATGGCTCAGTGGTTAAGAGCACTGACTGCTCTTCCAGAAGTCCTGAGTTCAATTCCCAGAAGTCACACAGTGGCTTACAACTCCAGTCTGACACCTTTACACAGACATACATGCAGGCAAAACACCAATGCACATAAATCTTAGTTTACAATTTGAGAAGGTAGCCTTATCAGTGAAGTGAAACACTTAAACTTACACATACTTTCATAGATACAACTTCAGTCATGTGCAGCATTCAGAGGATATATAAATACTTAATTGGCTTATATGTGTACACATCTGCATGAATATATAGATGTTGATGTCTGGGGGGCAGGGGTCAACCTCTGGTATGTTCCTCCGGACATACTCATTTTTTTGTTTGTTTGTTTTTTTGAGACAGGGTTTCTATTTGCAGCCCTGGCTGTCCTGGAACTTGCTCTGTAGACCAGGCTGGTCTTGAACTCACAAAGATCTGCCTGCCTCTGTTCCCTGAGTTCTGGGATTAAAGGTTTGCACTGCTGCTACCAGCTATCTTCAAAATAAATTTTTTTAAAAAAGAATAAATAACATTAAAAGAAAAAAAGCAAAGGAGGGTAATGCAAAGCTAGCCCTTACTACAGGATTGGATTAGCAGATTTTATATTAAGTACTTTCCACAACACAGAACATACCAGAACCATATCCAGGGATTGGCCCTTTGGTCTGAAGGTCTGGGAGCCCCACATTCAGCGCGTTGGGTACCATGTTGTCCAAATGTGGCTTAGGCCCAACGGGATGAGATGGTGAATGCTTCATGCTAGGCTGCCGCTGCTGCTGCTGTTGCTGCTGCTGCTGCTGCTGGAGAGCACTCACCATTCTTGCCAGCTGCAGGTCAGCATCCATTAAGGAAGGACCCAAGAGAAATGGACAGATGATAAGCCAGTATCCCAAATCAGCTGTTAAGTCAAAGGTGTTCCTTGCCCAGAACACTAGAGGACCTCTCCACCCACATACCTGTTGTTCTTGCTGCTGGCGCACTGCTTGAGAAATCTTTCTCTGGTTCTGTAGCAACTGCTGCTGTTGCTGCTGTTGCTGCAGGAGAAGCTGACATGCCTACAAAACAATGAGGAGGGAACCAGAGCTTCCTGAGATTGACATGGAGTGTCTGCATACAAAGCACCCATAACTAAATTCCTAGTCTATAGTTAAGGTCACCTTCATGTAAGCTGATATATCAATTTTAATTGTAATCATCCGTATAAAAGTTTGAGCACAAAGTGACAAAGAGAAGAAAGTTAATGCAAAAGAAGTAAGAAAAGCAAATAACTTTTTTAGCAACAGGAGCAAAACATGCCACTTACCAACTGAAACTGGGGAATCTGTGGAAGCTGGCTCAGCATGGCAATTTGTTGAGGAGATAACTGGGGCCCCACATTAAAGAGACCTGGATTCAGGCCACTGTTGGGGAACTGCTTGAGCATTGAGGCAGAAACCTAACCAGAAGACAGAGAGAAAATCCTTAGAATTTGTCAAAATAAAAACTTTTCTTTTTTGGATTAAAACCAAAAAAAGACCTGATATCTCTAAAGCAAGCATTGTCAGCTTCTTAAAAACTATCTGCAGGATACTCCACAGTGCTAACAATTGTTTTCTATCACTGGACTGCGAGTCCGTTAATTTTTTAGTTCTCCTAAGACTTTCTAACTTCCTGAAGTAAAAATGATGAAATTTTAAGTCAGAAAAAAAGATCTTTAGAGAAAAAAATGATGACAATATGGCTTTTCTCTAACTAAGAAATTAGTATTGGAAACATGCCATATAGCAAAACATGATAAACTGCTTAGAGCTAATAAATGTTTACCAGAAGCCAGAAGCGGTGGCACACGCCTTCAATCCCAGCACTTGGGAGACAGAGGAAGGAGGATCTCTCTGAGTTCAAGACCAGCCTGGTAGAGTGCCAGAAGAGCCGAGGCTGCACAGAGAAATCCTATCTCAATACTTCCCCCCACGAAAACCAAACCAAACCAAACCAAATAAAATATAATACTTATCCGAAAGCACTTAATTATACAAATAAGAATATCTGTATTTTTTCGCCAGGGCTACACAGAAAAATCCTGTCTTGAAAAACAAAAATAAATAAATAAAAAATAAATAAATAAAAAATAAAACTGATTTTAGGGTTTAAGACAGTCTACCTTGGCATGTATTCCAGTCTCTATCATTTCTACGCCAAGTGACTCAGAACAAGTACCTTTTTTAACCTTTTTGAATTTTGTTTGCCTATCCCCAAAACAGGACTAGAAAGTAATTAACCAACTAAACCAGCCAATAAAAACCTCCATGTGTTGTTCGAGACATTTGAGTTAACCTATGCCAAAGACTTAGAAATGAGCTTCGTAGTGTCCATTCTTATATCACAGGATGGTTCTTCAGGAAACAAGACCATAATTCCCTAGTTCCTTGCCTTCAAGCTAACACCCCTGCTTCTTTCACCTCTACCTGTTTCTCAAAGCAGAACCAAGAACAGAAAGTCATGTTCTAGGTACAGTCTAACACCAAGTGGATGTGGCCACCCCTAAGCACTCTGCTCAAAGTCATACTTTCTTTAACAAAGCCTCGGGTCTCTAATGCTCACATCCCAACTCTCTATCTAACCGTCAGCTCAGTATCAATTATAACCAACAGTATTTTAAGTGTTTTGCTTCCCTGAGTTCTCTTTACCTTTGCAGTGACGAGGAACAAACCCAAAGCCTGAATCAGTGACAGGCAAGCAAGCACTCTATCAGAGTCACAATCCTAGCTCCATCCACAATATTGAACCCATGTGAATGGGTCTCTAATTTTTATTATGCAGATATTCTATAAATGCTTATTAAACGAACACACTGTCATTATTATTCTAACTTAAGAGTCATTTACCAAGTTATTTTCAAATAATTTTTGTCTACTTATTGCTACTCTGCTGCCCTATGGGACTATGGATGAAAATGCAGAACTAGCTAGGTAGAGCTGAGAATCTAGGAGGATGCAACTAAAACTTCTGCCCAGCCTGAAGCTGATCAGCCTGAGAAGAGCCCCTTAATTACTAAGCTAAACAAATGTCTTAGCATTTAACTTTCTTTTTATAAATTCATTCTCTGCTGCAAGATTTGTTAAAGCTCCCAGTTGTTAGCTGTCCTCCCATCCCACCTCAGTGCTAAGGATGAAACACTATCACTGAACTCTATCTCCTCTCACTCCTTCTTCTTCTTTTTAAAACAGGGACTCACTTTATTGACTTGGCTGTCCTTGAATGTTATGTAGACCAGAATGGCCCTTTTTATGTTTTTTTTTTTTTTAAATAAATAAATAAATAAAAGAAGGCTCTTTGGGTTGGTCCTGGTAGTGCATACCTTTAATTCTAACACACAGGAGGCTATTTCATTTGTATGTGTGTGTACCTGTGTGTGTATGTATGTGCACTATGAGCATGCAGGAGCTCAAGGAGGTTTGAAGGAGGCAGAATCCATGGAAGCCGAGTACAGGCACCTGTGAACCACCATTTGAGTGCAGTGCTGCTGAGCCATCTTTCCAGGCCCACATCTACATCTTACTTAAGACAAAAGAATAGAAGAAGCACTACTTAGTCACCAGTGGGTGCTACACACTAGTTTAAGAACTAAGTCATGGCTGAGTGGTGGTGGTGCACATCTTTAATCTCAGCACTTGGGAGGCAGAGGCAGGCGGATCTCTGTGAGTTTGAGATCAACGTGGTCTCAACGGATTTCTAGGATGGTCAGAGTTACGCAGAGAAACCCAGTCTCAAAAAAACAAAAAGGACAAAAAACAACAAAACATACAAACAGACAAAAAAAGTCACAAACAAAAATGAAAAAAAAGGAAGAAAAAAAGGCCTTTTTAGTATATCCTTACTTTTCCCCTCAAACCTCAGCCTGTGTTCTAATCTTAGTGTCTCTGACTTTCTTCACTACATCTCCCATTCTATTCCCCATCCACTGCTTTTCTATTAAGTGTTCTGATCTTACCTTTCCTCAGCATCTTGATCAAAGTCAAATTGCTCAGTTCCCTATTATTTTTTGTTTTGAGTTGAGACCGGGTTTCTCCTCACAGTCCTGGCTGTATTGAAACTCACTATGTAGACCAGGCCTGTAGACCATTATGTAGATCTACCTGTCTCTGCCTCCCAAGTGCTAGGATTAAAAGCACATATTATCACGCCTGGCAGTCCCCTATTAATTTCAAGTCACCACCTCTGAACATTCTCAAGAATGATTTTTTTCTATTTTTTTAATGCTCTCTAGTCTAGAAATATCTGATCAAGTTCAGACTTGCTATATATATATATATATATATATATATATATATATATATATACGGTCCTTCAACTCATTTTTTTCACGATCTCAATCATATCCGGTTACCCAACCAATTCTGCTGTGAGGTTGGTTGCTTCCTCTCCATCCTCTAAGAGACACTGGTGATGTTGAGTATTACGAACCAACTTAAAACAATTATTTGACCTCTCTAACTCCAAAAGGTGAGAACACAAAACTTACCTGGGGGGAGATAAACTGGGGAGGCACTTGCGCCCGGAGACCAGGAGAAGAACTCAGTGGCTGCACTGGAGTGTGCAGGCCTCTCGATTGTGCTGTGCTGTTTCCAAACAAACCGTGACTGCCGCCCTGCAGAGAGAACGGTACCAGTCAGGATGTTTCTATCGATTCAAGAAAACAGTCAAAGAGCAGTTCTAGTTCTAGTTTCTATTGATAAGAAGAAACAAGATCTCTAGTCCATGGAATGATAGCATTCGCTTTAGAACTGAGGGGCTCTTCACGTTAGGATGTTGGGGGAAAGTTACTCAAACTGAGTCACAGGCACATCATTCACCACAGGTGGTCAGATAAGTTCTATAAACTGAAAAGGTTAAATTTAGTAACATTTAAAAGTAGTGCTACATTTTTTGTGGCTAAAAGGAACACACTGTGTAAAACTTCAAGACTACTTTTTTGAGACAGGGTCTCACTCTGTAGTCAGCCTGGGCTCAAAGTCAAGGTGAGTCTCCTAAGTGTTGGGATTACAGGTGTGTGCCATCACAAAAATCTGGGTTTATCAAATATAATTCTGAAACTCCATAATCTGAGATCTATCTTAAAAGGCACCTGGGTAAAAATATACACTCTAACCAAACTATCAGTTGTAAAGTAACACTCTGGTATCACTTCCCTCAATCATTTGGCGTAAGTAATCATAGCCATCCACAGGGACCCTGCCCTAGTTCTGAGCACATGTTCCTGTCCTGAATCTGTTGGCTTTCTTTGCTACATGCTAAACGCTCATCAATCTTACATCGACATATGAAATATCATTCTAGGTCATGGGAATAAACATTACTCGCTTGTAACTTATTAAAAAACATAAATATCGCCTAGTCTAAAGAAAAAAAAAGCTCAATTCCACGATTCCCAATGAAACACTTCACTGAGCTCATCTCTAATCTCCCAACAAGAGCAAGAGGAAGTTGGGCTCCCAGGGCCCTGCCTTTCTTATTTGTTTTTAGCTAAGGAAAAGTTTTCAGGAAAGGAACTGCATTTGATGACTTTCTGCTGTTTCCGCTGCCTAAGGACTACTCCCGCATCCCAACAGTGTTTCACTAAGCAGTTCAGGCTGATCTTGAACTGTTTTTGTCTCCATAGTACTGGGATCGAGGAAGGTACCATCCATCACATCTGGCCTCCTGAGAGTCTCTATGTTATGTATTCTTAGCCTGTTTAAGGCCAGAGTTAAAGGGCCCATTAAGGGTATTGTCTGCAAAGCCTCCTTTCTCGTTCCATGAACAAACTAACTGAATTTCCTTCCACGCTAACAAAACACTAAAACTCTCTAATGATGTTCACTGAAACCATGATAAAGTGACTATGTTTTCTGTTTTGTTCTGTTTTTTTTTTCTGTACCAGTTTAAGCCTTCCTTTTGGCATTCTCAGAATTTCATAAAGCCTTAGTCTATAGGATGCACACATCATTTGCAAATATCCATGGCCCACCAATCATTCACTTGAGAACACCCCACTGAGCATCTTCAGAAAAGACAGCTAATAATGCATTTGTAAACTGAGGTTGCTACTTTCAGTCTAACATAGGGATAAGATAATCTTAAAGAATTTAAATAGCATCATTAAGTTCCAGGAACACTAAAGAGATCATGATGGCTTTAATGATACAAAATTAGATTAAGAGACTGCTACAGGCAAATAAATGAACTTAAAAAGCACTAAAACAAAAAATGATTACAAACATAAAGTAGAAATGGCATTTAAAATCTGTATATATCATAAAAAGATCAAAGATCTACCACAAATTTTATTTTCCCAAGGGTGTTTAGTTCACATCACTGCACCTAGTTCAGAGTCATTTAGTTTTAGTTTTGTTTTGTTTTGGCTTTTTAAGACAGGGTTTCTCGGTGTTGCCCTGGCTGTCCTGGAACTCACTCAGTAGACCAGGCTGATCTGGAACTCAGAAATCCACCTGCCTCTGTCTCCTCAGTGCTGGGATTAAAGATGAGAGGCATCGTGCCCAGCTAGAGTCATTTTAAATTTCAGTCTTTCCTTTTATAAGAAGATTCTCGGCTTCCTGAGAAGCTTCAATAATGAAAGGTATCTGAAGCTGCACACAACATTCTAATGTTTTTAAAGTGGGTACAAGCAAGCCAATAGCAGTCTATGAAAATTCTGCTATCTTACTATGGCACTTAAATTCATTTTCTTGGTTCACTTTTGCTGATTTTCATGGATGTGTTGAAGACAAACAAATATACATGGCCTTCAAAAACATTAAATCTAGGAATGAAGAAGACAGTAATTCAAAGGCTGTATACATGCAATGATGGTTTACCTGACCATTGTCCAAGCTTTTCAGGTATATGGGGAAGCTCTAAGATGACCTATTTCTATGTCTCCTTAATTGGAGTTATTTACCTCAACCCAAGGCTTATTTCAGAAAGGTATATAAATTAAAAATAAAACCAGCAAACTGAGTCAAATGTTCTGTGATTCAGGAAAATATTACTATTTATTATTATTAGAGACAGAATCTTACACTGTAGCCCAAGCTGGCTTCAAACTCCTGTCTACTGATCCTTCCACCTTGGCCTCCCAAGGACTGGGATTAAAAGCGTGTTACCATGACTGGCTTAAGTTTTATCTTTTAATTATGAAGTAAATGTGACGAACTCCGCATGACGCAGTTTGAAACAGAACTGTATTTGGGTAGGACATATGCACCAACCCAATACTGGTAGACTTTGCAGTAATCCACCCAAGACAAGGAATTCCCTTTTTTAAAAGTCCAATGCCAGGCTTGTGGCTTGTCTATTAAACTTGAGTTTACTTTCTAGTAGCATTAAGTATTTATGTGAGCCTGAAACCACATTTTATATTTTCTATATCTCAATATAAAATAAAAATTCTCAAAACATTTCTTTGTTCATGTAAGCAATATACAACATTCCCCTTTAGGAAACTATAAAACAAACAAACAGGTAAAACACTGAAATTAAAGGAAGAAAACAGAAAAACAGTCTGAGTCCCCCAATCCAGAAATAACTAATCTGAATACACGGGCACAGTATAATCTCCGTTAAGTCTGCACGACAGGTTGCGCACAACTTGACTATGGTGAGTGATCCTGCTTTAACGCCCGTGTAACAGTCATCACATGAAACAGAGCCCTGCTAGCGAAGCTTATGCGCGGCCCTTGCTAGGAGGACTAGTTTTGGTGACTGCCAATGCTTGAGCCGAGCCACTCTTCAAAGTCTCACTCCTAAGGCTCTCCTTCTCTATGTGAGTACTGTGGTTTAAATCCTAACGACAACAGATGGCCAAATTCCCAGCCACAAGAACCTAGATTTTCTTAAGATACTGTAATACTCAAATGTTTACTCTTAATCTTAGTAATTTTGCTACTAATTTTTGGTTAATAGATATACTAAATTAGAGACCCTAGGAATACTACTTATATATTCTAATGGCTTTTAAAACATTTATTTTTATTTTATTTGTGTGAGTATTCTGCCTGCATGAATGTCTGTGCACCATGTGCATGCCTGGTGACTGCAGAAGCTAGAAGAGGGTATCTGATCCCCTGAACAGAAATTATAGGAGGCTGGGAGCTGCCATACAGGTACTGGGAACAAAACCCAGATCCTCTACAAGAACAGCAAGTGCTCTTAACTGCTGTGCCACCTCTCTGGTCAAACATATAATCTAATATTAAAAAGTGGTAAATGTGTCACTAGATTATATAAGGTCCCTATAGAATCTCATTCATATTTTCCTAAATCAGTTATAACCAAAAATAAAAAGATAAAAGAAACAGATTTAAAGTAAAATCCATGTTGAGAAACATGAAGAGAGATGGTTTCTATGGGCTAGAAGATGTAAAACCTATACTCAGTATCATTCTGTGCATTCAGTAATCAACAAGTTTCCCAAGACAGACAAATGATGAAATAAACTGAAGACCAGGGCCAAGGTGAGGCCACAGCCAAGCAATTACAAATCTGAGAGGCCTCCTTACTTGTCTAGCAGCGAAGTTTTGGGGGTTGAGCCCTGTGCCGATTGCTCCAAGGCTGACGTTGGGTAGTGTGGAACCAGAGGGAGACAGCTTGTAGCTGGGAGAAGGGGAGAAGGGAGAGCAGGGAGCCTCATCCCCAAGGCACCCATCTTGATTGGAGAAAGGCAAAGTCAGCTGAAAGGTAGTAGGAGTTAGCCAATCACAATGAGTGTTGGTTAGTGAAGCAACAGAATGCAAGAAGGGAAAGAGAGACACACTAGGAATAAACAAAGTAGAGTGCATTAGCAATAGTTCAGGATGAAATTTGGATCTGATAATAACCATTGCACTTTTGCCCAGCAGACATCACCTGTCATCCTCTTCCTAAGTTAGTAACCCAGTCGGCCCATTGCACCAGGACAAGGGCTGCCACTTTGTTTTTAGGAGTCTAATACTGATTACTCTGGTGGTAGGGCTCCTGAAGCAGAAGTCAGGCAATCGTCCTGTGAATATTATGCCACCTAGACCGGCAACAATATGGGCCTAGATCTCCATGTTTTGGTTTTAAATGTCTTAAGGGGACCAGGAACACTATAAAACATATTCTGAATCAAGAAATAATTTCATTTGAAATATTAAAAATCAGAACAAGTGAGTAAAACTTACTTGTTTCAATCAGGAGTGAGAATTTGAAGAATATACCATTTACCTAAAAACAAGCCACTAGGGAAGTGGGAAAGATGGAGAGCTTTTCCAGACCCGACTCCAAGCTTGTAGGAGATACATGTGCTTGTACAAAGCCCAGCTTTCATTTGTCGCTGGCACAGCAGCAGGAACAAAAGTGGACAGTAGCTTATCTCTAAGTGCCCATAACCTCCCTCGGAACTCCATGAATATCTCAAAACGTAGAGCTTCGTCACAACAACAGTACGGACAGATGGCTCTCGTTCCTGCCCTGTTGACATCAGCTATTTTCATGTCACCACATTAATGCAGGTGATATTCATTTGTCTAGAATTTGCTATCAGAAGACAATAAGAACATAGCAATTCTCATAAACTTAAACAAAGCACGCAGCTCACCTTCTCAAAGTAAGGCCCACTGTCTGCAGTTCCCAAGTCTTTGGAATTAGGTGGACGGAAGCCAGGTCGATCTTTCCTCATGATATCATTGAAATCCCCGAGATTCATTGTTCGTTTGTCCACATCAAATTTCTTATCTGAAAGGACATAAACAATAACTTGAATAAAAAGAATCAATGTCTCCCACGAGAGCCACATGTGATCTGACCACTTGCTCTCTGGGGTCCTGGGGACAAATCCTCTCTATTCTTTGGAATGAGACCAGAATTCTCACTAGTTCAAGGCTTATTCTGCCCCTGGAGCACATACGGGCCCACTTTTAGAAATTAAATATAAACCTGCTACACTTGTCTGCCATGGAAGACCCGAGAAGAGCCTTGAGGCAAAAGTGACTAAACAATATTCAGATCACGACTGATGTGTTGGATGAATACATCTTAATCATGAAGTCAGGTGTTCTCAGTGAGAGAAGCGGCCTGTTTGGCTTGCTAGCACCTGCTAGATACACGGCTGGAGTTTTAAAGTAGTTATAGGAAATAGAAAGATCATAGAGGCACACCTGTTCCCCCAAAATTCAAAGTTTAAGAATTTAACACAGTCGATCATGTTAACAATGTCTGCTCAGCCAAGTCTGCATGTGCTATGACTGTTTCCTTCTCTCTTTCTCAGCTCTAGAAATCTGTTCTACGACAACATCATCAGGTCACAGCTCAAACACTATTTATCACTGCTATCCATGATTATTTTCTTACTCTTAGTTTAACTCTTTTATGTTCTCGGGGGTGAACAAAAGCATTACTGAGAAAATTTTCACAGATGAAGGGCTGTCCCTCCATTTGCTCCAGCCACAATGGAGAAGTATGTCAATGATGAAATTCTGGGGTACAGAGAGTCATCTTAAGGGTCTGGACTAGCAGTACCACAGACATATTAAAATAATCTGAATTTAGTTTTCAGTACTTAAAAAAGAATCTGAGCCATGTGGTGATAGCGCACACCTTTAATCCCAGCACTCAGGAGGCAGAGGCGGGCAGATTTCTTGAGTTCAAGGTCAGCCTGGTCTACAGAGGGAGTTCCAGGACAGCTAAAGCTACACAGAAAAACCCTGTCTCAGAAAAAGAACAAAACAAACAAACAAAACCAAAAGCAGTGAAAAACAATCTGGATGCTAGTAAGGTACAGTCCAGTCAAGCTTCTATTTTTCATGCAACAATTGCTTCAAGTAGAGCAAGGTTGGCTTTTAAGGCATACAGGCCTTCTTCACAGTTAACCAGTTCACCTAGAACACAAGGTTCCTTTACATTTTTCCCTGGCTGTCCAGTTATCTAAATTTTCAACCTTCATATTGTGTCTGGCATGAAATCTTATACAGAGTTAAGCATTTAGTAAATATCTGTCCATCTGGTTGCCTCAACTCAAGCAGGGCAGGAGAGCCTAAGGGCCTATCATAGCCATGAGTACAAACCGAATCTTATTTGTGGTCTGATACACACCTACAGACAAATCCATTTTGCTGCTTGGGTTATCTTCTGTTTGACTCTGAATAAAACAAAGCACACAAAGTGAGAAACAATTATCAATCAGAGAAGAGGAGCCATTTTTCATGTGAAAGCCACATTAACCACAAGCACCTGACAAGACTTTCTGCAGTAAACATTAAAACTGGAGCCAAAGACGGTAACATTTCTATCACAATTTGATGGCCATCCATGCTTAATTAAATGTCTAGCATTTAATTCCACATGCAATCAGTCTCAGTACAACTATGGACAAAGGACTAGTTTACCAACTGCCTGGAGAAATAAACTCATTCTTAAGTACACAGGACCAGATTCCACAAGTGCTAGCCAAATGATGACAGCTTCTTCTTGTGACTTGTCAAGTCATCAATGAACTGTGTAGCTATGCTAAATCATTTGTCCCCACAGTGTTCCCGAGACAAGAAAATTAGAGATTCTACCAGAATTATTCTCTAAAGAGAGACCCCTAGCAGAATTTCTCTGGTTGTTTTCTTTTTGAAAATAATGATGCAAAGACTGATACAAATATCATTTAAGTATCTCCTTTGTCCCCACCTTTCCAAGGAAGATGATACAAAGACAATTCACTTTTAATGTTGTCATCTATCACTTAATAAAATAGAAAATAATAATAAATTGCTTACCCCATATTTAAATCTGTAGTTTTGTAGTGGTCCTTAAATTTATACTAAGCCTGAAATTTGGGATATGTTTACACATGAGAAAAATGAAACTTACCAGCAATCCCATATTTGAAAACTGTTTGGCAAGAGGATTCATCCAGGAATCATTGTTTCCTCCTTTTAGCGAGCACTACAGGAATGAAACGTAATCTCAGTCACAGAGCTTATCACAGCCTCCCAAGATACACCTACACTGAAAATGCAGAGCCAAGAGTCAACCTTTCTGAACCTAATGCTTGTCATTTTGGTATCTTACCTCTTACTCTAGGTTCAGCCATTTTACTTTTCAGTTCAGCTTGTACTCCTACTCATCAGTGAACTGGAAAACGAAGTTTATTCTTAACATGGAAAGAGTCAGTATCAAAGTGTGTACAATGTTAACCTCTGCGTGCCACCACGGCCACTTCCAGGAAGATGCTCTCTTGTAACCCCAGCAGGACTCTATTGGGGAAAAACTGCTACTGGTGAATGCTGTTTGGAAAGTCTGTTTCAGCTGGACATCACTCTCCGTGTGGAAGTTCTAGGGAGTTCTTTATCTGGTTCACAGCATAAGAGTCACAGGTTCTCAGTGGGAAAGAAGCCTGGACAAAGACACTATCCTTGAGCTCCAGGCACAATGGAAGGCATGGTAAGCCTGTATGACTCTTAGGATGCTCTGGTTTCTCCATCTGCTCCATGGGAATGGAGACAGGCATTTGTGGGTTTGGGCTTTGTGTAGCTGTGCATTCTACAGGTAAAACATGTGCTATGTATATTATAATTTGTATTATTGTTGCTGTTATTTGAAACAGGATGTCCTTAATCTTACTATGTAACCTAGGATAACCTTGAACTACATCCTCTGTCTTCAGGGCTCTGATTGCAGATATGTGCCACCATATTGGGTTCAAGCTATATATTTTTAAAGTAATGAGATACTTATATTTAGCCAAGATATTTTTCTTTTAAAAAAAAAAGTCCCTCTGAAGGAAGGAGACAGTGAATTTACTAGTACAGAGATTTCAGCTTTAAGAAGGAAATAATTCTGTGAGAATAGACTTAATGTCACCGAACTGCACACTTAAAAATGGTTAAGATGACAATTTTATATTATGTTTATTTTATTACACTTAAAAACTATCCTTCATGATGGAGGAAGGTCATTGGTTAATTATAATAAAGAAACTGCTTGGACCTCATAGGTTAAAACATAGGTGGGAGGAGTAAACAGAACAGAATGCTGGGAGGAAGAGGAAGTGAGCTCAGAGGCCAGGCTCCCCTCTCCCGGGTAGACGCGATGAAGCAAGCTGCCAGGTCAGACATGCTGAATCTTTCCTGGTAAGACTGATGCTACACAGATTACTAAAAATGGGTTAGGCAAAATATGAGAATTAGCCCGTAAGAGGCTAGAGCTAGTGGGCCAAGCAGTGTTTAAATGAATACAGTTTGTATGTTGTTATTTCGGATTTAAAGCTAGCCAGGAGACCAGGAGCTGGGGCAGCAGGAACACAGACCGCAGCTCATACTACACCTTCGTAAGAATCACTGGCATGGGAGCCGAAACATTCAATTCCCAAGTAAATCTTGGTTGTGACCTGAGTGGGAGGATTTAATCAGGATCTTTCACTCAGTCTGGATCCATTGTTAATTTGTAAAAAGACTGACAAGGCAGACCAGACAACATGAGAGTACCAAGATGCTGAGCAGCATAGTGCAATTTCTTTAGTGACTAGAGTAAGGAAAGTCAAGTCCTCAGGGAAGGGAGACACAGGAAGAACTGCTTCAACTAATGTCTCCAACAGAAACCAACTGTTCCATGCTACAGAAGAAAGTTAGGGTACTGAAATTCCCAGCTTCAGGCCAAGGGGTGAAGGCTACCTGAAGGACACCTAAGGGAGTAGGAGGATCTGAAGGACAAGAGGAAGCATAGTCACAGGGTAGCAGGGGGTTTCATGGGTGTGTATTCCTTATTTCTAGTGTGTGTGTGTGTGTGTGTGTGTGTGTGTAAAAGAGAAGGTTACAGTGAAAAGAGAGTTGTTTTCAGGTGCAGAGATCATGGCTGCAGATGCAATACCAGCGTCCTATACAAAAGCAACAGCAGAGTGCTTGCCTAGCACTAGCAGGTCTCTGGGCTCCAGTCCCAGGACTGTAAGATAATAATAAAATCATGATAATACAAGAGGAAAACTGGTTGTTATATGGAAAGTGAGGTGTTTGGAAGGCACAGAATAGGAGGAAAGCATTTAGTTATGGCAGTGCTAAAAACTGGGCTGGCTTACATTTTACTGAAGGAAGGGCTCTGGGCCTTGGGATGAATCAGGTAAAATCAAGACCCACTGATCACCATGGGAAAGCCATTATTATATCTTCCTTTGGTGTCTTTTCTACATTTCCATGGAGATTTACCCATAGGACTTCCTTGTTGTTAATTGCAAAAGCACAAAGCATTTTTAAAACAGGCCTCAGGAACTTAAAATAAATTATTATAATATGGAAACCAAAACTCAATTACCTTTACTTTACAAAGTTAATTTTACCCACAGTGCCAACTCTACAGTTCAAGATTTCAAGGCCATGGGATAGGAAGATAAGGGATACCGGGGAAGTAGTTATTAATTTATAAAGAAATACTTTCCCCTTTATTTAGGATCTCAGTGACTCCAACTGTCTCGTACCCTCCATCAACAATTCTAGAAACGAATAAGCAAGCTGAAGCATTTCTGAAGCACTACCTTCATTTGTTTCTTTCCTCCTTGTCCCCAGCTTGCTGAGTTGTGGGAGGAAGTGCTTCCCTGAGAGCCGGCGGTGTTCCAGACTCCTCCATCATCCTCCTCTTCCCAGCTAGGATGGCGAGTTCCTGTGACCGGACCATCACTCTCACCCCAGCCGTCTTGCATAGATTTGGAATCTTAAGGAAAGAGTGAGTCAATTCTTTGAAGTAAGTTCATGTGACAAAACTAGAGCCATTCCTAGCAACGCAGCAATTTAATATTCTCACAGTTCTGTCTGCTCTATCTACATGGTAAGACAAATGCATTATACTTAAAGTAGACAACAAACCTTACAATCAAGATCTTTTGACTACTTCTATAGAAACTGTCTTCCTGAAACCAGGGAGACAGTAATTTCAAAACTAAAAAGAACTCATCACCATTATAAGAAATTACAGAACTGGGTGGTGGTGCATACTTGCAATCCCACCACTTGGGAAACTGAGGCAGGAAGGTTACTAGCAGTTTGAGGCCAACATGAACTACTTCAGACACTATCCTAAACAAATCAGCAGAAGGTGTGTGTGTAGAGTGAACATGAACATGAATTTCATACCTCACTGAGAAGAAACTGGTCTCTCTGAATGAGCTGTGGAAGTCAAGTACTTCTTTGTTTACACTACCAAACATAGGCATTTCAAATAGGCATGCCAAATAAACAGTTGTCTACTTTGTTTGGGATGAGGCCAAAATAAGAATGGGAATAAAAACACAAGGCCATGAAAACTTGAAGCTTATTAGGTCCACAACTGTAACTGAAATGCATTAGCTGAGGAGGATCCTAGATGTGGCTTCAGTAAGAAATGAGAGAATGTAGAAGACAGAACGGGAGAAGAAAAAAAAAAAAAAGATGGGATAGCCAGAGAGGAGGGCATTGGACACCAGTCTCCAGTCTGTTCTACTATCATACCCTTTTTTGTTAATTGTTAATTAACCAAATATTGTTAATATGAAGCTTACAAGAAAACATTCATTTCCCTCCAAAACTACTGTATAGAACTGGATTTGCTTTCTTCAAGTGAAGTAGGGAGTTGGGAAATGGATCTTTTTTGTACTTTTTCCAGAGATAGCTGCTATCCTTGAGACCAGGCCTATGAGAGTCAAGTAAGTTCCGACTTGCAAAGCACATGGCGCTGGCTCTTATAATTGTTGCATGCCATGCTATAGCAGGTCTAAGTGAATGCTATAACTCTCTCATGGAGTTCATCCTAGCCACACAAAGTGACCTTCTGGTAGAAGAGCAATTGGTAGGACTGTTACTCAAAGTATTGACAGTCAGATGGTATAAGGGGTTACAATTTTATATAACATATATATAATAAACTTAGGATTTATATCACCTACTGAAAAGCAATAGGAATTTAAAACCAAATATATATAACATATTGATGATCTCTTTATAAAAATGGGTTGTGAGAGATGGCACTGACTGCTATTTTAGCAGACCCAGGTTCAGTTCCTAGTTCACAACTGTCTATAACTCCAGTCCCAGGGAATACAATGCCTCTGAGGGCACTGCATGCTGTGTAGCACATATATACATGTAGGCAAAACACTCATACACATAAAATAAATAAATAATAAAAGTTAAGAAAATGGGAAGCCAAGTGATTGATTTTTTTCAGAGAAGAGCTGAACATTTAACAAATGTTTTGCATAAAAAAAGGGACTGGGGCCAGGCAATGGTGGTGCAAGGCTTTAATCCCAGCACTGGGGAGGCAGAGGCAGGAGGATCTCTGTGAGTTCAAGGCCAACCCGGTCTACAAGAGCTAGGTCCAGGACTGGCTCCAAAGCAATACAAAGAAACCGTCTCAAAAAACCAAAAACGCAGGGTCAATGGTAAAGGTACTTGCCACCAAGCCTGACAATCTGATTTGTTCCCTGGAATCTCAATGATTTTTAATCATTTTTTCTTCTTCAAAACAGGGTTTATCTGTATAGCTTTGGAGCCTGTCCTGGCACTAGCTCTGCAGACCAGGCCTGCTTCTGCCTCCCGAGTGCTGCGATTAAATAAAGATATGAGTCATCACAGCCTGGCTCAATGTTTTTTAAAAGTAGAGAATCAACTCCACAAAACTATCTTCTGACCACACACACACACACACACACACACACACACACACACACTCTCTCTCTCTCCTCTCCTCTCCTCTCCTCTCCTCTCCTCTCCTCTTCTCTCTCTCTCTCTCTCTCTCTGGCTATAGCCAAGTGGTAGGGCACTTGCCTAGCTCAGGGTTTTTCTGTAGCCTTGGCTGTCCTGCAACTCTGTAGAGCAGTCTGGCCTCAGATTCTCAGATAGCCACCTGCTTCTGCCTCCCGAGTGCTGGGATTAAAGGTGTGTGCCATCACCATCTGGCTAAGCATCTGATTCTTAATTATGGGACTCAGTACCAAGTGTAAGGCATTTTTGACTGTGGAAGATCACACCTTGCCAGTGTCAGTTGAATGATTTACTCCTTCCTCTGAGCATTAGACATTCAAGTCATCCAGAGAAAGGACATAAGCTACAAATGATCCTGACCAACAGAACATATTACAGAACACAGAAGGGAAAACGACAGATTTGTGGTAGAGGATAGTGATTCTTAAACTGAGAAAGGCCCATAAAAATCCTTCATTCCTGCTAAACAATCTGTGTCAGGCCTGGTAAGCAATCTGGATCTATTTCAAGTTAACTAGATCCTATGTCCCATGATAACAAAACTGACTTCACAATGGAAATCTGAGAACAAGGTCTTCAGAAAACTCCAGAAGTCTATGAAGTGGAGTAGATCAAGACTTTTAAAATATAACAAAGTCCCATAGGCATGGTTGTGAATTCTAGATTAAATCTAATATATTCCTCACAGAGTCCTGGGTGTCATGGATATACTTATCCTTTTTCTTATCTTGAGCATTTCATAAAATTACAGTATTTAATCAAAAAACCTTAACCTTTAAGCCTGTTATAACATAGGAAAGAGATGTTGTTACATATTTATTTGATCAGAACTAATGCTGAACTTTTGTGTTTTGTTTTGTTTTTCGTTTGAGACAAGGTTTCTCTCTGTAGCCTGGCTGTCCTCGAACTCTTTGTAGACCAGGCTGGCCCAAAACTCACAGAGATTTCTCTGTCTCCTGAGGGCTATGATTAATGCATGTGCCACCACTGCCTGGCTGTAACATGTTTAAGAAAGTTGCAGTCGTGCACCTGATACTAGATTCTCAATTTAACCAAAGAACAGTATGCAGATTACAGTGACTACAAATTGCCACCTAAAATTCTCTTACGTAAGCAGATGACTGATAAATCATGTCTTAATTATATGGAAAAAAAAAGGAGGAGAAACAAAGTAGTTAAAATGACCATATTTACATTTCTGGGTAAAAATAAGCAATATTACAAATTATAGTTCTAGATACTAAATCTATTCTGTTTCTTTTTCCTTCCATTCACTTACTGTTTGTGGGTCACGTGCACATAGATGTTGTCAAAGGACAACTTGCTTAAGTTGGTCTCTTCTTCTACAATGTGGGTTTAGGGAACAAACCTAGTTACACATGAGGACAAGTGCTTGAAGAGCCTGCATTTGTTTTTATTGTGTTACATTTTATTTTTTGAGACAGGGTCTCACCATGAGCCCGGCTGTCCTGGGACTCACAATGTAGACCAGGCTGGGTTTGAACTCACTCACAGAAATCAACCTGCCTGCTTTTGCCTTCTGAGTGCTAGCATTAAAGGTGTGTACCACCATGCCTGGCCATTCATTTGCTTTTTTTTTTTTTTTTTTTTTTTTTCGAGACAGGGTTTCTCTGTGGTTTTGGAGCCTGTCCTGGAACTAGCTCTTGTAGACCAGGCTGGCATTCATTTGCTTTTAAGTCAACCACATAAATGACTTTTAGCTCACTGTAAACATCTGAACACATGCCAGCAACGTTCACTATTTGCTGCTATTTAATATTACAGGTTATGAATTTCATCGACTCAGTACTTGAAATAAAACAGCCCTCACCAAAATGCCTTGTTTCCTAATTAATAAGGAACTCCTCAAATACTTACTGGGTTTCGTGGCACTGGGAGCGCTGGCAGGGGTGCTTCCCCAGCCTGTGGTCGATGCTCCTGCATCATCCATCTCTCCCCACCCAGGACTGCTTTCATTTGGCTCACCCCAGGCTGAAGTCCCATTGTCTGGAGCTGGTGGTGTGCTTTTGCTCCAGACTGAAAAAAAAATAAAAATAAAAATATGTATCTCTAAATATTCATTGAATACTTAACATCCAGTAGAGGTGAAGTGGGTAAGTCAGTTATATTATCTTGGCAGAGATAAACTCAAACTTCATGGAGGGCATCTGGCAAAGTCACTCTTTTCAAAGGTCTAATGTAGATGACTCCTGACCCAGTAACTCCACTGCCAGAAAAATCTGCCCTAGATATATGTACTAAAGTGATGAAATAACATGTGCAACAGTGCTCACTGCATTAACTCTAGAAAAAAATTGGAAGCAATATAAGTATTAGAAGGAGATAGGTTATATCAAATGTGGGTAGTATGTTACTAAAATATCTACCAGAGGAAACAGGTTAGACAAATACTGGGCTCATAAAATGAGCACTACATATAAAGCAATTAAGAGAAAGAACTGTATTGCTATATATAGGACATAGCTACAGGAATATTGCCTGCCTACCCAGGATCCAATCTCAGGATTCCTGCCTCTTCCCCTCAAAAAGCCCACATCAAAAAAAAAAAAAAAAAAAAAAAAAAAGGCAACATGAATACTACAGAAATGTAATTCCTTCCCTGTTTAAAAAAAAATTAAAGCTTAGGTATATTTGTAATAGTTAAGAGCAAGATTTATGAATGGAACAAATTCTAAGAGATTACAGTGAGAAACCCAAGAAGCTAAGATTCTCTCATTTATGGTGTCTTTTGCTTTTCTGTACAGCAAGTGTGATTGTAGAGAAGTTAAAGAGTAATCTTTTATTTCTGTCCTCATTTTTAACTTAAAAAAAGAGCTAGTTAAAAGCAGTTACTTTGAATGATAATTAGTGTTACTAATGACATTTACTTAAAAACTAGGTTTACTTTGAATACTGGGAAACTAAACATTATGGTTGATTTTAACTAAAAAAACAAACAAACAAGGTGCATTTTCTAAATTGGTAAGTTTTTTAAAGGGACATTCAGGCCAAACTGAGAACAGAGTGAAGAGTTATTGGAACAGTTTAATATCTGTCCTGAGATCATCTTTTAAGTATACCACAGCCAACCATTAAGTCACCTGGAAGGAAGTGAGAATTTCACTTAGGATAGAGTGCTTGCTTAGCATGCACAAATCTCAGGTTCTGAGCCCCAGCACCATAAAAAATTAATAAATTTGGAGACCCCAGCTGTCTAAATACCAGCTGTAATACAGCACTGTGAAGGCTCCTGGGAGAACACCACAGAGTACTCTCCTTTGCTGGGGGAAAAGAAGCACACAGGGTGGGTTCAAGTAGAGTCAGGAAGGAAAGAAATAAGGTCACTTTCTTCATTAGTTCTTAAATGGGGACCTAGCCAGGTGGTGGTGGCATAAGCTTTTAATCCTAGAACTTATGAGGCAGAGGCAGGTGGATCTCTGTGAGTTCGATGCCAGCCTGGTCTATAGAGCTAGTTCCCAGACAGTCAGGGCTACACAGAAAACCCTGTCTGAAAAAACCAGTAATAATTGCTTTTCCTTGTACCAAGAAAGACCCCTGTAATGTACTAGAGTAGATGCCATCTCTAGTGCCCTACAGAAATAGAGTCTCAGAACAACAAAGCTGGAACTGAAGGAATAATCCTCAGAGTAAGTTAAATAGATGTATCTTAACAGATAGTGGACTAGGATTTCTTTTCTTTTCTTTTCTTTTTTTTTTTAAATATTTATTTATTATGTATACAATATTCTACCTGTGTGTATGCCTGCAGGCCAGAAGAGGGCACCAGACCTCATTACAGATGGTTGTGAGCCACCATGTGGTTGCTGGGAATTGAACTCAGGACCTTTGGAAGAGCAGGCAATGCTCTTAACCACTGAGCCATCTCTCCAGCCCCTAGGATTTCTTTTCTTTACTAACACCTCTGAGAAAAGAGTAGGTGCCTACCTGATGCTGATTTTCCGGTCATCGGGGTAGGCAAGTTTGGTTCTCGAGGCGGTGGGCCCCCTTGGGAATTCTTATCCCATAGGTTCACATTCTTGTAGTTATAGCTGTTAGGGTCTCCCCAAGCTGAAGTGCCATCATCAATGTCCATTTTTCGACTAATTGACTGTGGAGATGGCTCCTCCCAACCACTGGGTTCATCATCCTTAGGGATTGCAGGCTGGGGCCCACTGCTCCAGTTGGAATTAGAAGGTCGAACACTTCCTGGAGGTGGTGGGGGTGGGCCTCCCCATGAACTGGAAGCCTCTGGTTGTGGTGGTGGCGGCTGCTGCTGCTGCTGTTGGTGTTGTTTATTCCAGGAATTGGGCTGTCTGCCTGTTTCATTCCATGCAGGGGATCTTTTGCAATCTTCCCACCCACCTTTTGAAGCTAGGTTTGCATTCCCGCCATTACCCCAAGTTCCAATTTCATTCTGCCCTCCTTCACCCCATCCAGGCACAGGTTTACTTGTAGAACTTTCCCAATTGTTATTTTTCACTTGATCAACCTCCTCACCCCAACCATTCTTCCCAGAAGTCCATCCTTGATTGGGCTGACGCCCACCTCCCCACCCCTGATCCTTGCAGGAACTCTCATTCCAAGAGGAAGGTGTCTTTTCATCTGCTCGTCCTCCTCCCCAGTTAGAAGAGTTGTTGTTCTTATAGTCATTCCAGCCTCCTGTGCTCTTGGGGTCCTTCCACTCGGTCGAGGCTGAGAGCTCCCCCCATCCAGACTTCATTTGATTGCTTTGGCCGGGTGCATCTCCCCAGCCCCCTGAGTTCTTGGTCTGTGTGGCAGCGCTCTCCCACCCCTCAGTTCCTTTGTCAGATTTCCCCTCAGGCCTTGGCACCTCTTCAATATCCCACACTGTGTCCTGCTTAATTTGAGTCTGGCCCCAGCCAGTGTTTGAGAGCACCCTAGGGTCCAAATCATTTCGGCTCAAAAGAGTCTGCAAGACAGCCTGGCAATCAGGATGTGTGGGCCTGTATGACCGACGGCCAGAATTATGACTGTCGCTACTTCCTGCTTTGTGGTTGCTTCCAGTGCTTTGACCTCCAACTTCACTTCCTGCGGAGCTGGAAGACCTTCCCCAACAGGGAGCCTGGGCATTGCCTTGGTTTTCAGGGAGGGGGTGGCCCTTTTGATTGTCCCATGCTCCAGTGCTAGAATTTGGTTGGTTTGGACCACTCCATTCTCCAATTTTCAACTCATCAGACCCAGTCGGCTGTTTCCATTCTCCCTGAGAGACCCCAGATGTCATTTTGTTCCCTTCACCCCATTTGTTGTCATTAGAGTCCTGAGGGCCAAAGTTCCAGGACCCACCCGTAGACCTGTTATTGTTGTCCCAAGAGTCATTTTTTGACCCAGTTGATTTTGGAACAGAAGCTCCTTTCCAGGAGTCCTCTCTGTCTTTTCCATTGTTCCCATTATTTCCAGAATTGCTTTGTCCAGAGACTGTGTCAGTTCCAGAAGGCCCCCTAGCTGCACCCCAAGACCCAACACTCCCAGTCTTTCGATCTCCAGTGCTTTGTGAAGGGGCATCAGTGCTCCTGGAGGTGTTCCCCAAGCCCATCCCAAAGGGCATTCCCTTATTTTCCATGGGGTTTGGTGAACTTAAGTTCAAGGAGTTAGTGTTTCCATTTTTTGGTCCATCAGTGTTATGAATCTGAGCCTGTTCTCTGCCAGAGACAACAAAATTAACACCCGCATTTTCCATCTTTGACTGCTGTTCCCTGGATGCCTGACTTACTGTGCTCACTTGTGCACCGGAATTACTATTTTCTGCTTCCAACGCCCCTTTCCTAGAAGTTCCTTCTTGGACCAATGCTGGCCAGGCAGATGGGTTGCTATTTGGGTTAAAGTTGCTGAAGCCAGAGCCAGGTCCAATTCTATCTTGACCACTCACATTCCTCCAGTTTCCTAGTCCATTGTTGCTGTCTGAAGTAGAGTTGGAAGATTGAGCAGATTTAGCCTTAGGGTCAGACTTCCAGACCCCAAGATTACATTCGTTCCCGGAACTTGTAGCCTGGCACTGGCTCCCTTTGCCTTTGTTACTAGTGGTGCTTCCTGGCAGAGCACTCTTCTCAGAGCCAGGGTTCGAGGCACTGTTGTTATCGGTGGTGTTTTCGGAAGAAGATTCAGTGTCTTTGCTGGCAATACAAGGCCACTCTTCCATATCAGACCCGTCTACAATCACCTTGTCCCAGATGTGAATTGGGTTGGGGGAGGCGCTGTTGTTGGAGGAGGCTCCCGGACCCCAAGTGGAATTTGCATAATTTGAAGCAGCAGCACCTCCAAGGGTTGACTCTGGGAAAGAGATCATCTGTCACCCATAAGCTGTACATACATCACCATCAATACCTGGAGTTCTGACAGCCCCAAGAGAGCTCCCTGCATCTTTCCTAGACTGGCTTGTTCACCTGGTAAGTCTTCCTATATGATTTTAACACAGCATCTAGAGTCACCTTTTTATGTAAGTATGGGTGTGTGCATAATATGTGAGCATGGCATGGTGCCAGTGTGGAAGTCAGAGGGTAAAGTAGCTGGGATTCGTTTTCTCCTTTTACCATGTGGATTCTAGGGACTGAACTCAGGTCATCCGGTCTTTATGCGCTGAGCTATGAGAATATGCTGGAGTTTCCCCTGTCACTGGCTACTGCTGTATGTACTAGTCCATACCACCTCTCAAAGTTACCTACTTGCCGCTCCTGCTAACACAGAAGGACCTTCTTGTATCCTAAGAAAATGCGACAGACCTTAAGCGTGATGTATTTCTTCAATCTATTCTAACACTTGTGGCTGGAGTGGTTTTCTAAAACACCTTTTTGGTTCTCTCAGTGCTCTCTGAGAGCTTTCAACAATTACTTAATGCATAGAAACGTAAAACCCCTCAGATGGCTTCAACAAGATAGATGTTCTAGGGCCAATCAGTCCTCCCAGTTACATCCTTTACAACGCCCCACAAAGATGCCTACAGTGAGTGCATAAACACACCTCTGACCCCAGCACCACTCTAGGCTGGACCTGCTGTTTTCTCCTCCCAGATCTGCACAGTGAGACTGATTCATCTTTATGGATATTCTCCAAGTGCCACTCCATCTGTGGAGCCCCTTCCCAGGCTTGCCACCTGAAAAATCATCTTTCTTCAGCAAGGGACATTTTCCTCAGTGTGGTAACCCTGTTTACATCTTTGCTTTCCTACACTACTCTTTCCATGAAAGCCTATGTTGCTAACGTGGAGATTCTATACAGTGGCCTGTGCGTTCTACTCTATAAGCCTGTGCTGAATGATGACTGTCCCTAAGCTAGCCGCTGAGATATAGGAGTCTGGATCAGACAGGTTCAGATTCCCAAGGAGAGTAATCTGGTGAATCAGATTACTGCTCACCTCATGTTTCCGTAGAATGTACCATATCTAGTGGGGTGGGGGGAAATAATGTTTATAATGAATTTTTTCTAAACTAATTTCTCCATTAGCCAAGCAGTTTTCAATTACTATGAACTAAAAATAACACTACCTAAAACATTTTAGCCCAGTGGCAGTATTGCACACCTTTTAGCCTAGCACTCAGGAGGCAGAGGCAGGTAGATCTTTGGGTTTGAGGTCGGCTTGGTCTACAAAGCGAATTTTAGGACAGCCAAGGCTACAGAGAAACCCTGTCACTGTGTTGTGTGTGTGTAAGTCTGCATGTAGATCTGTGTATGTGTACATAAAATTTAAATTATTTATATGTATATATAATTTTAATTATCTATAATTATAATTATCATATACACATATATACTAAAATGAGGACACACAGAATCTTAACACCTTGAGACTGTGCTGGTCTTGCCTATGCTTAATGATATTCAAAGTTTAGTTTTTTTTCTTCAAAATTTGTTTTTAAAGTTACTTTTATTTACTTATTTGTATGTGTGCTAAGATGCACATATGGAGGTCAGAAGACAATCTTTGGGAGTCAGTTCTTTTCACTATGTGGGTAGAGCCTAAAGATGGAACTCAGGCTACTGAGCTTGGTGGCAACCATCTTTACCTGTTGTGTTCTCTCTCTCTAGCTCAAACACTAAATTTTAAAATAATCTAATTTTGGTTTTTCGAGACAGGGTTTCTCTGTGGTTTTGGAGCCTGTCCTGGAACTAGCTCTTGTAGACCAGGCTGGTTTCGAACTCACAGAGATCCGCCTGCCTCTGCCTCCCAAGTGCTGGGATTAAAGGCGTGAGCCACCACCGCCCGGCTACATTAATTTTTTTTAAAGGGACTGGAAACTCTTTACTATTTATTGACATAATACATATTAAAAACTCTTGGTGGTAGATGTTCTAATGAAGCTGAGACAGGAGGATCATGAGTCTGACACCAACCTGGGCTATATCAGAGATCATCAAAACTTCTAATGGAACTCTTGAAGGAAAGATCTCTCACATCTATATTACAGTCTTAACAAAGCTCAAAATCCAGAGTTCTAAAACTAAACACTGACTTAACAGGAAAAAAAACCCTACTTAAAAACTATGTAATTGTATATCTGGTGTTCTCTCCAGATTCTATACAACAACCTACGTGATCATTCTGGAAGCATAAGATTCTGGAAGATTTAGAAGAAGCCCCATGTAAGTCTCACTTCCTGAACATAGCTGGGGAACTACATACCCTAGGAGTTCAAGCATGATCTTATTCTTTCATGCCAAGACACCACAACCCAATTTCAGAGAATTGCTTATGTACATTTATGCTGGGATCCTCTCCCATCTTTTGCATAATACAGTCTACATCAACAATGATTTTCATGGAATTGTTATCAGGAACTAAGCACAGAAAATGCTTTCCCTCTCTCTGAAGCTGGCCCCAGTGTCCGTCTTACCTGGTGCAGTCCCACTCTCGTTCTGCAGCAGCGTTCCTGTCACTTGTGCGTTGTTTGGGTTTGCTCCAGGTGCTGTGCAGGGAGGAGGCCCTGCTCCACCCCCAAGGAGCATGCAGGACGGTGGAGGGGGCTGCCCACGTTTTAGTAACACTTTGTGGTCCTGCTGGCAACGGAATCGCGGCGGCACCTCCCGAGGCATGTAGCGGGCGGCGCTTGGCGGTTGTCCGTTCGGCACTGCCACCCTTTTGGCATTGTTGCCACCATTGACTGGTGGCGATGGAGAGCTGCCAATTGGGCTGGCGGCCGTTGGTTGGCTTAAACTTGGTTTCGTCACTTCGGGCACTGAAAAGACAGGAGTTGGGAAAGTCTTTGAAATTAAATCTATTTTTCTAAAGTCTGTTTTTAAGAAAGTTCACAGAAGACTATTCTAAGAAGGCAAATCTATCGCTCTGTTCTGAAGGGACTGCCTTTTCAAATTCCTGCCAGGATGTTTACTTTACTAAGTAGGAGTGGTGGAAGCAGGTGATAGTAACAAAGAATCAAAAACAGTACATTCTATCAATTAAGTGGGGAATCACTCACATCACCAAATCCTGGAAGGTAGAAATGGTTGTGCCAAAGTCTCAGTAGCCCAAGACCTTCCCTTCCTCCAATTTCTCAAGGAAAGGAAATTTATTACTTCCATTTACTTATTCTGTGTGTACACATGGTATGGTAAGCAAGTGGAAGCCAAAGGACAATTAGAGGGAGGTGGGTCTTTCTATCATATGGGTTCCAGGACTGGAACTTAGGTTGTCAGGCTTGGCAGCAACTCCCTGGGCTACCTTGAGGACAATCAACCCACTTCTTTGAAGACCTCTGTGAACTTTTCTGAAGCTCCTGACTAGGCAAGTGGAGCACGCTTTACTCATACTCCTGCAATATAGTGATTACATCTGGTCTCGCTCTCACTGGCCTTAAGTCCCTCAAGAATAGAAACAATCATTCATTTTCCTCCTTGTAGGACAGGCACCTACAGAGAACTACAGACCTAGAGAATCACAAAATTCCACTTGCCTTTGGTTCCTACAGCCACCTGGATGCAAAAGCTTATTGGTGACTGTTTATATAACAGGAACATTAGAAATCTCTTAGCTTTTATTTTAGAAAATCTGTTTTAGCTTTTTCATTGATATAAAATGTTAAACAGCACAGAAATATGCACAGCAACCATGAAATTACCTCCCCTGCTGGACCTGCTGCTTCCTACCTCAACCCTGCCTACAGAGGTTCCTAGCTCTATGCCTGTCTTTATACAAGCTAAAGACTACAACTCTGTATTTCTTCTTATTCTTTTTATAAACCCAGTGCTTATTCTTGAACAATAGTGTCAAACACCTTCTTGAAAAAAAGATCATTCACTTTCTCCCAAGAAAATCTGCCCCCCCCTCCCCCAGAGGTTGACAGTACTACAGAAATTAATCTGAGGTCCAAACCCCTGCCAACCATCTCTGGTAGCAGTATTGCTTTGACTGCTGAAATGATGCTGGGCCAGCATGTTGCCATTTAGCTGGCTCCTTTATAAGAAGAGAGATACATCATCAGAAAGCAGGGGCCCAGACTAGCCACCACTGGACATTACTGAATACTGTGAGTGACAGGAGAAAAGAATAGATGGCTAAAGTAAGTTCCAGGCAACTCATATGTCTATTCTTAGCCAATCACAAGATAGTACTGGCCTCCTGGTAAAAGGGTGGTGGCTGTAATGTGATGAGCAGAATAAAAAACTAAACCAGTCATTGTCTAATATTAACATAGTGCTCTCTGCAGAACCTATAGGAGACATTGGACAAATAAACTATTAAATAAAATATTTGTTTCTGGAATATTCCACATGCCGTACTAATCTTCATTGCTCTTACGAGAATAAAGCTAGGTGGATTTTCCCAGCTAGTTTGTGAGGCTGCTCTTCTATAATTGGGTTAGGATCTCTACTCTAAGTTAACCAGGTTGCCCACGTGCCTTAACTTGTTCTCTTAAATAAGACAATGACAGAGCAGCCTCAGCTGAGAAGGGTCTGACTAACTTTATAGTATACACAGTTGCTTGAACCCAAAACCCTGGTGCTGTACACTGTACAAAAGTCCTTGTACAACCCCTTTGTGGTATTTTCTCCTGGTCATACCAAAGATAGGACAGATGTGATGAGAACACAGCTCCATTATTTCTCCTCTGACATGGTGCTGTCTCTGGAGCCCAGCTGCTGAAAATCCCAGGACTTAAGCTAGAAAAGCTAACTGTGTTGGAGGGCATGGCCAGATTTTTCTTCTTTTTCTTTCTTTTTTTTCTTTCTTTCTTTCTTTCTTTCTTTTTTTTTTTTTTTTTGTTCAAGACATGGTTTCTCTGTGTAGCCCTGGCTGTCCTGGAACTCACAGAGATCTGCCTGCCTCTGCTGTTGTAGAATACTATTTTAAGGTGTGTTACTTTTGTTTATGCTATGGAACATTTGTTTAAGGATGCAAAAATATGTTTGATTAGATAAAATTCACCTGCAGCTGACTAGAAGTTGTAGGGAGGAGCCAGGTGGAAAAGGGTTTATAAGATGAGAAGCATGAGAACTTCTGGGGAGACACAAGGAGGTGAGCTGCTTGCTATTCAGCCTCTCTGGAGAGCAGAATTCTACCTCAACCTTTGAATCTTGAGTTCTTTCGGACAGAGATTTAGGTAAGTTCCTTTTGTAGCTTTGAAAGAGTCGGTACCCAAGAAAACAGAATTTTCTCAGGCTGAGGCTCCTGTGTGGTAGCGAGGGGTTGCAGCTGCTGACTAGGATAGCCTTAGTTTAAAAGGCAGCAATAATTAAAAAAGAAAGCAACACTCTGCCTCCTTAGTGCTGGGATTAAAGGCATGCACCACCACCACCGCCTAGCTGATTTTTTTCTTTATTACACTTCTTTATGAACTTTAAATAAATAACGGACAGCAAGATAGCTTAGTGGGTAGCGGTGTTTGCAACCAAGCCTAAAATACATGGAGCCCACACACTGGAATGAGATGACTCCTGCAAGCTATCCTCTGACCGCACATACACACATGATAAATTAAGTTTGAAAGGCAAGCAAAACCCATGACATCTACTGGAGGAACTGTTAGGCGGGAGCACAAACATTTTTACAGATTCTTCAAGTACAAAGCTAAGACATCAGAATTAGTGTACCTCCGGAGTGTCAGGTCTCAGAGAGGTGCCTGCCAGGCCTCTCTTCTCAATGCCAATGATTTGTAGGCTGAAGCATAAGTAGTTCTAAAATGATCTACTCTAGCCTCTGAACCAGGTTTATTTGGTGCTGGGATTCAAAAGCCTCAAGGTCTCAGTTTCTTTGCTAAAGAAAGCCTACATATGCGTTAGGGCTGATGTGGCTGCCTAGCTCAACTCTGGTTGGTTCAATCCCACCAAAACAACAACCAAAGGTCTATGCTTCAAATAAACACAGACTCTGTCTCATAGAAAAGAAAACACTGTAGAATACTGTGTCCTATTTTCTCATTTCTATCGTGTACTTTAGAAATTACATACCCTATTGGCTGAATCGTCTCCCTTTCTACTCTCTTAACTTACAACATTCTTAGTTTGCAGTTTCAGCTTCTAATTAGCCTCATTTTTTTTTTTTTTTTTTTTTTTTTTTTTTTTTTTTTTGAGACAGGGTTTCTCTGTGGCTTTGGAGCCTGTCCTGGAACTCGCTCTGTAGACCAGGCTGGTCTCGAACTCACAGAGATCCGCCTGCCTCTGCCTCCCGAGTGCTGGGATTAAAGGTAGCCTCATTTTTGAAAGTATCAGCAAGGTGCCATTTTTTCCTAGGAAGAGTTCTTTAAGAAATGTTTGAACTTGACAAGCTTCTGAATTGTACATTTATACAACAGACCCAGCAAGTGCACAGAACCAATACAAGCTACCACTTCCTTCATCTTTTTTTTTTTTTTTTTGGTTTTTTCGAGACAAGGTTTCTCTGTGGTTTTGGAGCCTGTCCTGGAACTAGCTCTTGTAGACCAGGCTGGTCTCGAACTCACAGAGATCCGCCTGCCTCTGCCTCCCGAGTGCTGGGATTACAGGCGTGCGCCACCACCGCCCGGCCCCACTTCCTTCATCTTAACAGGACCAAACACACACAGACCTGACCTAGAAATGTTTGTAAAAGGGCTAGGGATGTAGTTCTGTGGTGAGCAAGAGACTCTAGATGCAATACCCAATAAAACAAAAACAAAATTAAAACTAAACAAAAGTAGTTAAAGTCATAGGAAATATTCTACTTTAGGTTAACAATTTAAAATCTCGAAGACTGTCTCATGCACAGGTGACTTAACCCACACCATGTGATTCTCAGTGACCTCCACCTTTATCTCTACTTCTTCACTTTCCACTAACACACACTGGCTTCTGCATCCAACATCTTCCTCCTCCAGTCACCAGGGTCTTCACTGCCAGTCTAGAGGGCACTGGGCACTTGTCATCATGCCTGCAGCTCCTGACTACTGGTTCTTTTGAATTTACTCTGGTAGCTCTTCAATTCTTCCTCATTTTCCTTTGGGGTCCTCCATACTGTGGAGCAAGGGTTAAACAGTAAATATTTAGGTTTCACTGGGCATAAGGTTTTAGCTTCAGCAACTCAAGTGTGTACAGAAGAGTGAAAGCAGCCATAGACTATGGCTGTGCTTTAGTAAGGATTTATTCAAGGACAGTGAGTCAGGAATTTTACATTCTCACAGTGTTCTTTGAATCAACTTAAGAATTTAAAGAACTCTCTTTGCTCACAGGCAGTATAAAAACAAGCAGGTCAGATTTGGCTTGTAGGACACAGGAGCAGCCCCTGCCTTTGACCATCCTTTTAATTATAATTCCAAAAGGGCATTTAGTTACTCCCTCACTTGGGAATTCTGCACTTTTATTCAGACTAGCCTCCAGCTCATGACGATCTTCCTGCCTCAGTCTCAAGTCTAGATGAGACTACAGGTATAAATCACCACACCAAACACTGAGATTACATCTTTTAAGGTTTTTTTTTTTTATTACATATATTTGTGTGTGTGCACGTGCGCTTGTGCATAAGCGTGTGCACATTCAGGTCACTGTATGAGTGACCTGAGGACACTTGCAGTGGTCAATTGTCTCCATCTACCCATAACAAACAGGTGGGGCTACCTATTTCTCACACTGAGCTGTTGAGAATTAAACTCTTCTGCAGAGGCCTTAATTATCACTGTGTAACTTTATTTCTTTTATCTCCAACTTAGGTCTCTTATCCTCTCTGCTCCCCTCAAACTTGACCCTCAGCCCTAAGCTCCATTATTTCCTAGCATTGTGGAGTTATCACCAAACTTGCGCTCCAGCCTAGAGGTGTTTAAGACTCAATCTGTCTGTCCTCATCCCAAACACACACCATTACCTAGGAACCCCATGCTGAACTCCTCTTTTTCACCATTGTTTTACCCAGGTACTGTCCACCCTCATTCCCCGCCACATGAGAATTTGGCACTCACTTATCTGAGTGCATGTTTTGTAACAGCTCATAATCACTCATCTTAGAGACAGCTAATTCCCTCTCCATCTCCCTATTTTATTCATTTATTTATGTGTGTATAATATTTTTGTGTGAGAGACAATACAGGTGTATACATGCTACAAAATGTCTAGAGATCAGAGGACAATTTCTGGGTGTTTTTCTTTTTCCACTATAAACCTAGGGATTGAACCCTGATCTTCAGGCTTGAATAGCAAACAATTTCACCCAAGGATTCATCTCACTGACCCTAGTTCCATTTCTAAACAAATGCTACCACCTATTAGAGCACACAGGTGCCTCTACAATGTGGGGGCCTTGTTGGTAGTCTATCTGAGCCACTGACATGCACTCACTATAATATGTTTCCTAGAATAAACTCAGAAATCAATGTAGAAAATGACCAACAACCCCAGATATGGTTATGGAAAATGCTTTCCTTCAGATGTGTGCCAATGGGGTATGGGGCAAGGTTATAATTTAGTACTTTGAACCACAGCATTTAAAAAACTGATCCATTTTCTCCGACTTTTTTGACTTACCCTAAGCCTCACTAGAAAAAAGCAGATATTTACTGTGGACATGTTCAATCTTAGCAACCAGAGCCCTACCTGAGGGTCCTCAGTGAGAAAGACATGGAAACTAAACAATCCCACATTATTTAAATCTGCCTGAAGTGATAAATTCCTGGCCAACCTGACCCAAACTGTGCGTGGTCCATGGAGGCTTCCCATTCCATACCGATGTCTACAGACCTGCAATTCCCACTCTGGATATTTTCTAGCAGCTAAAGGTCATGCTCGTGTTTAGAAACTAGTCATTTCATTCTATACTGATAGCTCTCATTAAGGCAATCATCATCCTATAACAACCTTTAGCAAGGCTAAATTGTTACGGCCAAATTCTGCTATTATGTAGTTTGTATAATTGGGCTTTTAACCCTAGCCTTACCCTTTTCCCTGTGAAATTTCACTTAGTTAAATCTGACCTGGTGCTGATTTTACAGTTTTGTGTTTATTTAATATCCACAAAAGAGTATCTAAATTTTTGCCTAAGTGCTTTTTCTTCTTTTTAGCTGAGTAGGCATAGCTAGCCCATGTCCTCAGAGGACTAGCTGAAATCCATGTCCTACCCTCCTTTCTGGGATTCTCACCATACTATTTTTAATGGTGGAAGATAAAGGAAGACCATACAACCAATACACTGTTTTTCTGAAATACAGAAAAATCTTACTTCAGTCCTTGTACAACCCAGACTTGGCACCAACACAGTCTTTTCTTTTTTCTCTGCTGGGAAAAGAGTAGATTCAGAGTTAAGGGCAGATTGCTTAAGACGATAACTGTCATTGGGGAGAGGAACAGGAACCAGAAATGTCAGCTCAGGCAAAAGAATGAGGTGGAGAATGCCCAACAAAGACTTGATCATGAAATGGAACAAACCTAGCAAGGCTAGTGAGTCTGACACAACTCAAGAAGAAATAGGAATATATATATATGCATTTTTAAACTTCCTGTCTTCTCTCTGGTTCAAAGAATTAAATCCCTTGGAGACCCAAGCTAGGCCCTCATCTCCCTTTAGGGATTATCTGACTTGATTTTCTGATTGGGGGAGCAGGAAGAGTAAGGAGACAGGGAAGTACGATTCATCTACAGTAGGTATGAAAAAGACCTAAGTAGAAGGGTGCATAGGAAGGAAAGCTTGATTTTTAAGGCTCTGGCAGAAGAGAGACCATAGTGTGTGCGAACAGACCTGGTATTGTTATTACCATTTGGAGAAAGAATGTCTAGTGGACTTTGTTTTTCTATAGGATAGAAGCAGAAACTGGCTTCTACCATATTCTTTATGTTCTACTAACACTGAGTCCAGCTTGTCAGGAAAACACCAATTTTCTCACCTGATAACCACTGCAAAAGTCCTTTCAGAAAGCCAATAGCACATGCCTGTAATCCCAACACCCAGGAGGCAGAGGCAGGAGGATCATTGCAAGGTCAAGGCCAGATTAGTCAACATCATGAGGTCCAGTTTAGCTATCGCTACACAGTGAGACTCCCTGCCCGCCCCACAAAGTCTGATAAATGTTTTGTTCCCCAAATCCGTTCACAAAGTATACTTCTAAATAGGCTTAGGAAAAATACATATTTGATGGATTTTTCTAGAAGAAAGCCTACTTGTGGGTTCGGAAATGGCTGAACTGGACAAGGGGAAGAACACTATTCTCCTAACCAATTAAGATAATTATAATAGCAGAGTCTCACAATTTACTTTCTAAATCACAACAAAGGCCCAGGACATAGTCTTCTTTGATATGCCTTTGATTAGAAATATAATAGATTAATATGTATTTACTTGAGAATTTCTCATAATTATGTTTCTTAAGAAAGCTATCTTTAGATAAAGCATCTATGAAAACTGATCATTAAATGGCATGTTTTTGCCTGTTAGTCATCAAACTGACCAAACTGACCAACCAAACCAAACTGAACTCAAACTACCTCATCATTAAAGGGACTCTTGTCAAATCCAAGTCTCCAACCCTTATATGATTTCTCTTTTTTTTTAATCCAGGTCAATGGTTTTCATGTTCTGAGGCTGCATGGACACTTCAAGGTACATCTCTAAGAACTCCAGCCTAGGTAAGACAAGGTCTAGCAGCAGCCTGGGTGCATATAATTTGACAACTAGGTCAACTATTTTAATATACACTTAAATGAGAACCACATGTTTAAGTGCTCAAAATAAGCATTATCTCAAGGAACTTTCCCTCCCACTATTAAGGCCTGCTATCCAACAATGACCATTATTAAACAAAACTACATAATTAGAATCAGGAGAGCAGAAAGAACCACAGAAAAGGGCAGTATCAGACTGAGAATGGCCTAAGGGTCATTTGCTTCTGTTTGCAACACATCAGATTTTTTTCAAGCAGAGTTAACTTATTCAAAATTTGGTATCTTAAAAATCACAGTCCAGGCTCCAGTTCAGAAGGCTGTTGAACATTCTAGATGTGACATTCCAGTTTCAGACGCAATATATTTCATGCACCAAGATGGGTAAGTGCTCTCAGCAACTGTCATCAAAAACTAGGAGTTGGCAATTTGCCACTGTATACTAAAAGTTCTGAAAGAGTTTAGTTCAAAATCATGATTCACACACTTTTAAAACAAAGTATTTACTCTTTTGCTCCCTAAAAAGTAAGGCCAACTAGAAACACAATTCTAAGTGCTTTTTGTTTGTCGTTGCTGCTCTTCAGTGACTGCAAACAACCCACCTTAATTAGTGTGCCCACTCTCTGCTGAGTGGATTGCAAGCTGAGTCAGCAGCATCGTGAAATCTAAACACAAAAAGAGAATAAAAATCTTACCTTTGGTTTTTTGTTCCGTGACCTGCAAAATAAATAACAGATATAAGTAAATAAAATTTGCTTTTTAAATTCAGTACTGTGTTGTAAGAACATTTTAATACTTTTAACGTAGGCAATTCAAGTTGTCAGAAAACACAGTATCCAGGCTTAGTTGAAATCCAAAACAGCTGTGAGTCAATTTCGATATCTTTCTAGAAGTTATGTCCATATGTTTAGTCATACTGACACAACTAGAATTTGAAGAAAATCTAAATTAAAAAAAAAAAACAAACAAAACCCAAAACCAAACAACAACTTTTTAAAAAACTTTCTACTTGTTGAATGATGTATTGGGACTGGTTAGCCATTCTGATTGCTCTAATTCCAGAAAATCCAACAGATGTGGCCAGAAACTAAATTACCACAAAAAGATTCTACCTGAGTATGAACTCAAATACCTTTGAGCTCCAACTTAAACATGAGAGGCTGGCTCATCCTGAAGTCAGGAATCATGGTTGCAAGGAAGATTTGAAACCAAGCCTGTATGATCTCAATTACTCATTTACCTGGTGGAAATAGTCATTTCCCCTAGCAGGGTTTTGGTAAGGGTTACATCAGATAACCATGCCAATGTTCAACTGGTATCTGCTATCATCATCAAAGTTATAAAAGCAGAACATAAGACTGAATTATGCAAATTTTGATAAAAAGGTATGAGTGCTTTTTAAAAAGTACTTCAATAAGTAAGAGTCTATGAAAAAGCCTAAAATGATGGGTAGTTAAATATAGCAATGGACTTGTGAGGTCATGCTGGAAATCTTTATATGACAGAGGTAAACTACTTCTTATATTGCTACAGAGCAGTGTGGAGTGGGGGCACAATGACACCGTGACATTCATCATATATTTCCTGTAATATAAAAGCAAAACCACAGAAGGGCCACAAAAGAAAAACATCCCAAAGCAAGTAAGCCAGAATCCTAGCCACAGATACATTACATTGTTAGTACCATATCTGACCTACTTTTCCAAACTGTCAATTTGCTAAAGGACTTTCACACTATCTGACTTTGAAAGAAGTTATTAAAAATGAATGCTATGCTCCAAAACTCAGGGGCCACAGAGGAAGAGGGGGCAGGAAGACAGTATGAGCTAGAAGAAAGTAGGACCAAAAAAGGTCTGGACCATTACACTGTGAATTCACAGCAGTTAGAAAAGACCTGCACACAATCCACCCAGTTAACAATCCTGCATGAAGCGGGGAGGGGTCTTGAAGCCCCACCTCTAACTGAGGATCTACTGACAGCTGATGGCTTCTGAGGCAGAAAAAGCTTTCTTTAAGGGTTAGGCCCCTGGTCCAGCTTTACTGGGCATAGTAGTAGAAGGCCCCACACCCTGGACTACATGAGCAGCACAAATTACAATCAGTAGGCTATTTAAAAAAAAATGTACAGAGAAACCCTGTCTCGAAAAACAAAACAAACAAACAAATGAAGACAACAGGATATTGGGAGTTGCTGATGGGGTGGATCTGGGAGGAGTTGGGAGAGGAATGGGAGTAGTAAATATAGTTAAAATATATATTGTATGCATGTCTGAAATTCCCCAAACCAAAAATATATTAAACAAAATTATGGTGAGAGATAAACTCATATATAAAAGGAAGTATATTTTCATTTAGGCACTGTTTTATATACTTTCAAATATTACCCAAAATGTAATTAAGTGAATGGTTAATTAATTTAAAAATGAATGTTACAATCATCTTTTAAAAGACGTGTGGTTGGCAATCATTCCAGTTTACTGCTATTCATGAAAACATGGTCATCTTTGAAGTGCTTGTCCGGTAGCTAACCAGCCCGCAAATAGATCCTAGCACACTTAGACTCTGAATCTGACCTAAACACTCTATCTTAGGACTCCCTGGAGCTCTTCTTACATTTTTGCATTAAAGGACAGGCTAATTGTACTACACGGAAATCTGTGGGAAAGTGTCTTAAAATGAACCTGCTCTCCACTACTAATTGCTCAGGCTCAATTCTAGTGAAAAGCCCTTGTACATTTTTCTACAGTCCCCAATTATCCAAGAATGAATGGTTTGATTCACACACCAATTCCTGATGGCAATTTAGGTTTTATTCCATTGTAACTATTTCTTGGAATGCCACTTTGAAGATCAGTTGAATAAAAGTCAATACTTCCCCAGTTTTAAGCAACAAATCTAAATCATGTTGAATATGTCTTATAATGTGGGTGCTGTTACAACAGCCAATTCTCAGATGTTGGAAATCTGGACAGTCAGAGTCCATGTCCTGCCAACATTACACAATGCTTCTTTCGCAGCATCAGCCTAATGAATGAATGGAGTCCTTCTTTACACCTCTCTCGTGAATGGGAATTCAACATGGTTTACTCAGGGATGGTTCTGGAAAGAGCCAACTGCCATTGAACACGGTGGAAAGAGGTTCATGTTTAATTTCTGTGTGGAAGAAATTTAATTTTAGCCCTAAATGAAAGTCAATGTTTTAATAACATTACACTGGCATCATTCATTCTTCTTCTCCCTGCAGTGAGTGCTGAGGATGGAACCCAGAACACTCTTCTACCAAGTTACACAGTCAGCCCACTACCACCCATTCTTGAGCATTCCATCACTCAACAAACATTCTGAGCAACTACTGGGTCCCAGACACGTGAATGTTGCTGATATAAATATAAATTTTAGGGGCTGGAGAGATGGTTCAATGGTTAAGAGCACTGACTGCTTTTCCAGAGTTCCCGAGTTCAATTCCCAGCAAACACATGGTGGCTCACAGCCATCTGTAATGAGATCTAGTGCTCCCTGCTGGCATGCAAGCATACATGGAAGAAATGCTGTATATATAATAAATAAATAAATCTTTAAAAATAAATAAATATAAATTTTAAGAAATGTATACCTAGTTTAAAGAGGAAGACAGACACAAAGTGGTGGTTACAAAATTATGAGGAAAAAAAGAAAGATGTGGAAGCCAACTAACAACCACAGAATAGAATTTCTGGCATATTCTCTACAATTCTTTCTTCCAGAGCACATTTTATGACTTCTAGCTGTCTTTACAATAATGCTGGGACCACTAAAGCAATCACATGGTAAGCTTTGTGCTCTTTCCTTAAAATTGCTAAATTGGAATTTAATTATAAAATTATACAGTGGTTCAGCATAATAAAATGTTGTCAAAGACAAAGTGTCAGCCTAGACTTTGTTAGCTGATCTGAAATGTTTTTTCTTTCTTTTTGGCAGCCCTGGCTGACCTTCAACGTCTTTCTAATACTTTTGCTTAGACCCAAGAATTGGGGTTACAGGCAGGCGTCACCATGGCCAACAAAAATTTTTATATTAGTCATGATTAATTCCTTCAAATTTAAGGTTATTATTATCTTTGTCATTATTTCTTTAATTTATTTTTATTTTATGTACACTGGTGTTTTGCCGGTACGTAAGTCTGTATGAGGGCATTGGATCCCTGGAACAGGAGTGACAGACAGTTGGGAGTTGCCATATGGGTGCTGGGAATTGAATCTGGCTCCTCTGGAAGAGTAGACAGTGCTCCTAACCACTGAGCCATCTCTCCAGCCCCTGTCAGTATTTCTCAATTGGTCTTCAACGTAGATGCATGCACTTGGGGAAGATTGTCTAGCTGTATAAACTACACACTTTGCGTAAATAATCCCAATTCAGTTTCCAATGTAACCAGATTCTCCTTTATTTCAAATAAATTTCCTATTTGTAGAATACATAATACATAATACATATGCGTATTTGATTTACAAACATGAGATGTTAATATTTTTAATGCAACAAACATCTATGTTAAGAATGAAGATGGAATATATACCTTTTGAAACAAGCACTGTCTCCTTGTCATCTAGACAACAACCCCTATTCAGATCCTTGGTGTCCAGCCTATTAACTCTGTTCCCAAACTGGGAAATTTAGGACCAATTTAGTAGATGAAATGTGTGAAAAAGACAAGATCTCCTGAGTAAATTGTGAGCATGGGGATCATGGGAGAGGGTAGAAGGGGAGGGGAGCAGAAAAAAATATATAGCTCAATAAAAAAAAAAAGTGTGGACCTGGAGGGAGAAAGTTCTCTCTAAGTTCAATCTCATTATTACACTTGAGTTTGTTGGTTTTCTTTTTTTTTTTCCATTTTGGGTGGTAGTGGTGTGTCAGAAAGGTCCAGGGCAGGAGCTCAAAGACCACAGGGCAATAGAACCAATATGCTAACACTAGTGCACCTGCCTCATTGACAGGGAAGGTGGCTCTACATTCAAAGTGCTCTCTCGCTCTTTTGTGAGATAGTTTTTATGTAACCCATTTGGCATAGAACTCTTTATGTAGCTGAGGAACACCTTCAGTTTCTAATCATTTTGCCGCCACCTTTGAAGTAGTGGGATTATAGGTGTACATCACCACACCAAGCTCATTATCTGCTTTTTAAAATTCATACTCTTTATTCTGGAATTGCAGGTAATTCTGATAGGCTAAGATTAGCAGCAAGTACTCTGACAGCATGAAGATAGGATAAAAGATGTACCACTATCAACATGACAGAAATACCATTAAAAGCAGACAAAACTTTAAATCACACAGCAGTCTGATACAGTTCTAAATAATAACTGCCTGTTCCTTTAATGAAGTCATAAAGAATGAATTACATTCATACACTTGACACACCAAGGTTATCTGTAACCCAATTCAGAAAGTCTTTCCAAGATTTTTCAAATGCTGTTCCTCACAAATGTTCTATTTAAATATGACTTCAAATAACGAAATTTTAGGGCATGCATCCTCAGTGATGCTGGAAAAACTTGCAATGTGGCCCTTCTGCTTCCCATTAGGTCTGATGGCCTTTACTGTTCTTTGTGAACAGTTCTCTCTGAACCTCTAACAGTTTATAATACCTCTACAAAAACCAGTAGGGACCCTCATGCTGACTGACTTCAGTGAGGTCCTGCTTCCCAAATCTCCATGTAACCATACAAGACCTGGCCAGCAAATCTTGTCTTCAGAAAAAGAACCACAGCAACCCTGAAGAGCCAGAGCCCATGATCCACGTTACTACAGGAATAGTTAAGAAGGGAAAAGCCCGGCCAGGCAGGGATAGGAGCAATGCTCTGAAGTAAAAGGCTGCGCCTGTCAGGACGTTCTCACCACTCTCAGCTTCCAACAGTTTCATCAGACAAATGGTTTCAGCTCTGTCTTTTCTTTAGTGTCTTTGCTCTCCAAGCACATTCCTCGTAGCTATGTAATCTATTCTCCAAGGGACTGTACAAGATACCATTTCCTTTTCAGTGTTTCTGAGACAGGGTCACACTATGCAGCTCTGACTGGTCTGAAACTTACTATGTAGCCCAGGATAACCTCAAACTGAGCATCTTCCTGCCTCTCAACACGTGTCCCCAGGGCAGTTCACTGATGGGATCATTATAAAATAAAATTTCCTAAACTATAGTGCCAGGGACAGGCAAAAATAAATTAAAAAAAAATAGGGCATACTCAAGCAAGTTTTAAAAAGTTTGTCTAGTTGGATGGTGGTGGCACATGCCTTTAGTCCCAGCACTTGGGAAGCAGAGGCAGGCAGATTTCTGTGAGTTCAAGGCCAGCCTGACCTACAAAGTTAGTTCCAGGAAATGCCCCAAAACTACACAGCTTCTGGAGAGAGAGAGAGAGAGAGAGAGAGAGAGAGAGAGAGAGAGAGAGAGAGACAGAGACAGAGAGACAGACAGAGAGAGAGAGAGAGAGAGAGAGAGAGAGAGAGAGAAAGTTTGTCTATAAACTTGGAGAGAAGATGGATACTAAATTATGATTCAGCTAGTGAAACACAGTTGGGACTTTAATATTGTTTACTAATGTTTTCGTAAAATAAGCTGAAGCACTATTAATCATTCACTGTATAGTAATATGTATAAACCTCAAACATTTTTCTACTTTCAAATAAACTAATATCTTGGGTAGGTATTCAAGTAAGGCAGTCACTAACTAGGGAGCACTGGCAAATGATAGACCTAAATGTCTTTTTCTACTTTCAAATAAACTAATATCTTGGGTAGGTATTCAAGTAAGGCAGTCACTAATTAGGGAGCACTAGCAAATGATAGACCTAAATGCCTAACTCACCTTCTGAGTGGCTTCTTTTTTCTTTTTATCCTCTTTCTTCCTTTTCTTGTCTTCCATTAACTGTTCTTCCCTTTCTTGCTCCTTCTCTCTGTAAAAGAAGTAACACCAGAAAGGTTACACAGCACATCCATACCCCATAGAGCCATGGGTTTCTTCCTTCATCACTCTGCCTTTTCCTTTTTTTAATTTCATTTTATTTTAGGGATATAGATATTTTGTCTGTATACTATCTGTGTGAATGGTACCTGAGGAGGCCAGAAAAGGATGTCGGATCTCAAGAACAGGAGTTATAGATGGCTATGAGCCATCACTGAGTGCTAGGAATTGACTTGGGTCCTTTGGAAGAACAGCAAGCACTCTTAACTACTGAGCCATCCTTTAAGCCCTTCCACCTCATTTTTTTTTTTTGAGACTGAACCTATAGCTTGCTGTTTATAGTAGACCGAGTGGTTGATAAGCCCCAGGGATCCACCTGCCTCTGATCCCTAACCCCCTGCCCTAGAGCTGGGATTATAGGTGTGTACCACTAATCTGGCTCTTCTTTCTTTCTTTCTTTCTTTCTTTTCTTTTTTTTTTTTTTTTGAAAAAACAAAAACATAAGTGAGCCAGATGGTGGTGGCAGTGGTGCATGCCTTTAATCCCAGCACTTGGGAAGTAGATCCCTGTGAGTTTGAGGTCAGTTTGGTCTACAGAGTGAGTTCCAGGACAGCCAGAGCTATACAGACAGACCCTGCCTCACCCCCAACTCCAACAAAAGAAATCACAAGTGCTGGGCATTTGAACTCAACAGCTATCTCCTCAACCCCACTATTTGTGTTTTTAAGGAAGGTACTAAGAGTTCTAGAAATCAAAGTGGTCTCTGTTGGGTGAATTCATAACTGCATTTTTTTTCCCTACAAATACAAATCAGGTCAATCAATCTGCTCCATTCAGCAAAAAAAAAAACAATAACACTAATAGAGCTCCAGTTGAGGAATTGTGCTAAATCTTAAGATTATACAATTTATATTACAAATTCAAAGTAACTCTGAAATGTACTATTTATTCTAACTATGGCAATTAGGATCTTAGGTAATGACACATCAATTCATGGCTTCACAGACATCATCTAGAAAATAACCAAGATAAAAAAAGATTAAAGAAGCAACTAAGGAACTAACAAGTTTGCAAATGGCAAACCCACAAAAAAGAGTTCCAGAGGGACTCCGGTCTAGGGAAGAAGGCAGATCTAGTCAAATGCATTCAACTACACAAAGCAAAGGCAATCAGTTTTTTTGTTTTTGTTTTTTCAAGACAGGGTTTTTTCTGTAGCTTTGGAGCCTGTCCTGGAACTCACTCTGTAGACCAGACTGGCCTCAAACTAACAGAGATCTGCCTGTCTCTGCTGGGATTAAAGGCATGCACTACCACCGTCCGGTAGCAATCAGTATTTTTACCCATAGAAAACAAGAATTTTCTACATCAGACATAGCAGTAGGCAATCCCACCATGTGGGATACTTTGGGAAGTGGAGTGAGAGGGATTGTTGAGTTACAAGCTACCATTGGCTACATAAGTGACACTTCATCAAAAGAGACAACCCACAAAGCAAAACAGTATTTTAAAAAAACTATTTACTTTCCTGTAAACTATCACTAAATCCACATACACAAATATCAGACTTTTTCTCCTACACTGCTGGGCATAAATACACAAGTTTTATATGCAAAACTCAAACTCCAAATGCAACTTTCATATGAAAATACAACCAAAGGCAAACTTTTCTGTGTGCTGTATGTGAATCTGCAGCAGTACAGTTCGGCCAGTGCTGGACAGAGGGTTCAGGGCTTAAGAGCACTAGCTGCTTTTTTGAAGAGGACATGAGTTTGATTCCCAGCACCCATATGACAACTCACAACCAATGCCCTTTTCTGCCCTTCCTGGGCACCAGGTACTACTCATACCGTGCATAAATATATACACAGACAAGACATCTATATGCATCAAATTATAATAAATTTTTGAAAAAGAAACTGGGACGGATGGGTGTGGCCATCTAAAGGGGTTGCCCAGTCCCTGTTACAGTGGCTCTAGCAACGCCACTCTGCCTCTCATCAAGCGGAAGGAGAGGACGAGATTCCCTGTCACCACAACTGAGTCCCCACATTTTATAGTGAAACTAGCTACAGAAAAGGAAGCCATAGTCTGAACATCTCCTGCTTAAATATTTGGTGCTTTGAAAAAGCAAGTTACCATTTATCCTAAGTATAAAATTTCCAAAATTAAATTTACATTAAAATGCCACACTAAAATAAAAAGGTCTTAATGAGATACATTCTCAAAAAACAACTAACCTTTTTGAATTCTTTCCTATAAACAGGTAATTCAGGGAAGAGAGTGAAATTCATGCTCAAATAGAAGGATACTTCTTTCCAAAGCAAATACTTTTCAAAGCTTTCTAGGACACAAGCTTTGCTTTCTCCGTTTTACTTTTCTTTGTGTTTTTCAGCAGCATCTTGGTAGAATTTAAGTCTTCTTACTTTTCACCTTCTTAGGGAATTTTTACTTTGCCAAATTGTATTTAAAAGCCCACCTGACTTGCTTGAATCAAACGGCGTAGGACTTGCCTCTTAGTTCAGGTGTTACCTGCACAGAATTATCATTTTGGAAGCTCTAAAGATCCCTGTGCTAACTCAGAGCCCAAGCATGAGGAGGACACCCAATCTAGCGGCAATGGAAAGGCACTTGCATGCAGAAGGGCGACAATATAGAAGGGCAGTAAGACAACAGCAGCCAGATTTTTCAGCCTCAACAAAAAGGAGCTACAAAAATACAATGGGGGAAGAACAAACACATGGAGTTGGATCTAAATTGGTTATCAGCAAGTACTCATTGTTTTCAATAAACAGAGACATAACATATACATGTGCCTATTCTCTCCCTTCTCACACCCTCCCTCTGTGTATCTGTAACTATGAGGCTACAAAACAATGAATACTCAAATAGTAATGAGCCTACTTAGCACACAGACTTGCAGCTTTTAATTACCATTCTTTACTAAAAGAACCACAGTTATTTGGGGGGGAGGAACCAAAGTGCTAATTGGAGGGGTTAGGTCCAGGGAAGCGTACTATGAAAACAAACTGCCTGCCACAAAGTAGAAATCCTTAAATTAGAAGACAGATTGAAGGGGATTCTAATCTATGGGATGACATAAGATCACTGTAAGTATTGCTAAAAGAGGTTATAAATCATGTAAATTTGTAAAACAAAGGAGAAATAAAAAATGAATAAATTATAAGAGGTGAATGGAATGGAACCTTCAAAGAGCTTAAAAGCACCTACCCACAAAATACTTTTCAGTTTTGAAGGGGAAGAGTAATAGTAGGCTGGGAGACACAACCTTAATCAAGTACTCTTATCACCCATTATCATCTATCACCATGGGACTTACCTATCAGACAGCTGCACCATGAAAGCTAAGAGGCAAACTACAAAGCAAAAGGTTGGAAAGCTTCCCAGGTCAAAGTCATGGAAAACTTGAAAACTGCTGTGAGTAGAGGGAAACTGAGGGGCTAACACCAAAACTATCAGGCAGTCCTTTTGCTACAAAGGCTCAAAAAGATGCAGTTAGGAGGCAATAATGGGAGGGATATGCCTTCAATAGGGCAGAAGAGTCAATGGCAGCAAGGAACCAATATTGACTTTGCATTTTGTTTTGGTTTATTTTGAAGCAGAGTCTCACTATAGCAGCCCAGCCTTGGACTCACTATGTAGTCCAGACTGGCCTCAAATTCAAGCAATTCTCCTGCCTCCACCTCTGGAGAACTGCAATTACAGGTGTGAAGCACTGTGCAGGATGAGATCTTTGCTTCTGGCGGTCATGCTGCAGGAGTACAGGAGAATGTTCTGTTTGCCTAAAAATCTTTACAGCACTGGTGAAGAGCTGCGTGTGCCTGGGCACCAGGTCAGTGGCTCATTCTCAAAACAACTCAGGAAAAAGAAGAAAAAGACTTTTCAAAACCATACAGATTTGAACTCTAAATTCAAGACTGTCACCCTAAACAACAAACACAAAACTACTGCTCAGGCAGCATTCCAGCTCAGTGACATAGGATCGCTAGGGATTTCTTTAAACCACCCCCTCCCAAGTGTTCTAACAGGCTTGAAAACTGCTGACACAAATGTACTCATTAAAATCGACATATTGAAACTTTACCAAATGTTGGGGCAGTTAAGAGCACTGGTTGCTTTCTCAGGACTCAAATTTATGTCTCGGCACCTATACAACAGTTCACAACTGTCTGTAACTCCGGTTCCAAGGGATCTGACACTCTCACACAGACACACATGCAGGCAAAACCCTCAGGCATATTAAAAAAAAAATAGTTGGGCAGTGGTGGCACATGCCTTTAATCCCAGTACTTGGGAGGCAGAGACAGGTGGATCTCTGTGAGTTCGAGGCCAGCCTGGTCTACATAGTAAGCTCCAGAACATCCAGGAGTATTGCACAGAGAAACCCTGCCTCAAAAAACCAAAATAATAATAATAATAATAATAATAATAACAATAATAATAATAACTTTACCAAGCGTGCAAACTAACAAAGGAAGGAAGGAAACAGAGAGAGAGAGATAGACGCCAGGTGAGGTGAGTTCCCCTTAACCATCCACAGTTTCTAAGTATAAAGGACAGGTGGATGTTTCTTTTGTACCTACCTCCTTCCTTCCAAACTGCTACCAAATCAATTCAGCACACTGTATTTACTGAGTTCCTATGACTTGCTAGGCAATAGTGTCCACAGGTGACTCAGTTTCAAATATATATGGAATCGAGGGCTTTTCAAATCCCTCACAGCCCCCAGGGACTCTCATCTGTTTACCCCAATGTTCTCTTTCGTGTGGGTCTGGACATAAAAGGTGAACGGCCATTGTCTAGAAGCTGGTTTTACTACTAGGTACCAGCACTTGCCTCTGTAGGAGGCTAATCTGTGTCACTTCTGCTTTCATTTGTTAGTACTGAAAGAACTAAAGTATATGTAGGCAAACAAGAAGATACAACAGGGAATAGACATTACAATCCAGAATAAATCTAGAAAGGTAAGAAGTC